CTCTTGAAGTGGTCGAGCAAATCAAGTTCCCTGTCATCGTCCGTGCCGCTTATGCTCTTGGTGGTCTGGGCAGTGGTTTCGCTGATGACATGGATCAGCTCAAGGATCTCTGCATCAAGGCATTCGCTGCCAGTCCCCAGGTTTTGATCGAGAAGAGTATGAAGGGCTGGAAGGAAATTGAATACGAAGTTGTCCGTGATGCCCAGGACAACTGTATCACCGTCTGCAACATGGAGAACTTCGACCCTCTGGGTATTCACACCGGTGACTCCATCGTTGTTGCTCCTTCTCAGACCCTTTCGGACGAGGATTACAACATGCTGCGCACAACGGCTGTCAACGTCATTCGTCACTTGGGTGTTGTTGGTGAATGCAATATTCAATACGCTTTGAACCCTTTCTCCAAGGAGTACTGCATTATTGAGGTCAACGCTCGTCTCTCCAGATCTTCCGCGCTCGCCTCCAAGGCCACCGGTTACCCGCTTGCCTTCATTGCTGCCAAGCTCGGTCTCGGAATCCCGCTTAACGAAATCAAGAACTCCGTCACCAAGGTCACTTGCGCATGCTTCGAGCCCTCTCTTGACTACTGCGTCGTGAAGATTCCCCGCTGGGATCTGAAGAAATTCACCCGTGTCTCGACCCAGCTTGGCTCTTCCATGAAGAGTGTTGGTGAGGTCATGAGTATCGGTCGGACGTTCGAAGAGGCTATCCAGAAGGCCATTCGGTCCGTTGACTTCAACAACCTTGGTTTCAACGAGACGAACGCCCTCATGTCCATCAAGGGCGAGTTGCAGACCCCGTCTGACCAGCGTCTCTTCGCCATTGCCAACGCCATGGCCGCTGGTTACAGCGTTGATGACATCTGGAAGCTTACCCAGATCGACCCTTGGTTCTTGAGCAGACTCAAGGGCCTTAGTGATTTCGGCAAGCTCATGACTAGCTATAACACCTCCACCGTCCCCACGCCCCTCATCCGCCGGGCCAAGCAGCTTGGTTTCTCTGATGGACAGCTCGCCAACTTCCTGAGCTCTAACGAGCTCGCGGTTCGACGCCTGCGTGTCGAAGCAGGCATCAACCCCATTGTCAAGCAGATTGATACCGTTGCCGCTGAGTTCCCTTCGGTGACCAACTATCTGTACCTCACCTACAACGGCTCGGAGCATGATGTTAACTTTGACGACCACGGTGTCATGGTCCTCGGATCTGGTGTTTACCGAATTGGTTCGTCCGTTGAATTCGACTGGTGTTCGGTGCGAACTATTCGCACTCTCCGTGAACAGGGCCACAAGACCGTCATGGTTAACTACAACCCGGAAACTGTCAGTACCGACTACGATGAGGCTGATCGTCTGTACTTCGAAAACATCAACCTGGAAACCGTTCTCGACATCTACCAGCTTGAAGCGTCCAGCGGTGTGATCATGTCCATGGGTGGTCAGACTCCTAACAACATTGCTCTGCCCCTCCACCGTCTCAACGTCAAGATTCTCGGTACTTCGCCTGAAATGATTGATGGTGCTGAGAACCGTTACAAGTTCTCGCGCATGCTTGACCGGATCGATGTCGATCAGCCAGCCTGGAAAGAGCTTACCAGCATTGACGAAGCGAGGGGCTTCTGTGATGCCGTCGGTTACCCGGTGCTTGTTCGTCCGTCCTACGTGCTTTCGGGTGCTGCCATGAACACGGTCTACTCTGAGCACGATCTTGCCAGCTACCTGAACCAGGCCGCTGACGTTTCGCGTGACCATCCCGTTGTCATCACCAAGTACATTGAGAACGCCAAGGAAATCGAGATGGACGCTGTCGCCCGTAACGGTGTCATGGTCGGTCACTTCATTTCGGAGCACGTCGAGAATGCCGGTGTGCACTCGGGTGATGCGACTCTGATCTTGCCGCCGCAGGACTTGAGTCCTGAGACTGTCCGCCGTATCGAGGAGGCTACCAGCAAGATTGGTAATGCCTTGAACGTCACCGGTCCTTACAACATTCAGTTCATCGCTAAGGACAACGACATCAAGGTCATTGAGTGCAACGTCCGTGCCTCTCGGTCCTTCCCCTTCGTCTCCAAGGTCATGGGTGTTGACCTGATCGAGATGGCTACCAAGGCGATGATCGGTGCTCCTTTTGCCGAGTACCCGCCTGTGTCGGTTCCCAAGGACTACGTTGGTGTCAAGGTTCCCCAGTTCTCCTTCTCCCGTCTCTCGGGTGCCGACCCCGTCCTGGGTGTTGAGATGGCCTCGACTGGTGAGGTTGCTTCTTTCGGTCGCAACAAGTACGAGGCGTACGTCAAGGCGCTCCTCTCGACCGGTTTCCGCCTTCCTAAGCGCAACATCCTGTTCTCGATTGGATCCTACAAGGAGAAGCTCGAGATGTTGCCTTCAATCCAGAAGCTCCACCAGAACGGCTTCAACCTCTTCGCTACCGCGGGTACGGCCGACTTCCTGAAGGAGAACGGCGTCCCTGTCAAGTACCTGGAAATTCTGCCTGGTCAGGAAGAGGATATCAAGACTGAGTACTCGCTCACTCAGCACTTGGCGAACAACCTCATCGACTTGTACATCAACTTGCCGTCTAACAACCGCTTCCGCCGCCCAGCCAACTACATGAGTAAGGGTTACCGTACTCGTCGTATGGCCGTCGACTACCAGACGCCGCTGGTCACCAACGTCAAGAACGCCAAGATTCTGATTGAGGCCATTGCCCGTCACTTCCCCTTGAACATCCAGACCAGCGACTACCAGACGAGCCACCGCAGCATTGTCCTTCCGGGTCTGGTCAACATCGCTGCTTTCGTCCCCGACCTCGCGGTTGCCGGCTCCAAGGGCTTCGAGGACATCTCCAAGGCTTCCATTGCCAATGGTTTCAGCATGGTGAGGGTGATGCCCGTTGGTGTTGACACTTCCGTGACCGAGCCCAGTGACTTGAAGGTTGCTCAGGATAACGCGCAGAACGCTCTGTGCGACTTCAACCTCTCTGTCGCGGCCACCTCTTCCAACGCCGATCAGATTGGTCAGTTGACCGGCGATGTCGGATCTCTGTTTATCCCCTTCAACCACCTGTCTGGTAACATCAGTAAGGTCGCTGCGGTCACCAGCCACTTCACCGCGTGGCCCTCAAACAAGCCGCTGATCACCGATGCCAAGTCGACGGACCTCGCCTCGATCCTGCTGCTTGCCAGCCTCCACAGCCGCAACATTCACGTGATGAGCGTCACTTCCAAGGAAGACATCAACCTGATCGCTCTCAGCAAGGAGAAGGGTCTTAAGGTCACCTGCGATGTGTCGATCTATTCCCTGTTCCTCTCCAAGAACGAATTCCCGGAGTGCAACGCCTTGCCCTCCGCCGAGGACCAGAAGGCTCTGTGGGACCACCTGAGCACCATCGATGTCTTCTCGATCGGCAGCATTCCGTTCCAGCTGGCCGGTGAGGAGGCTTCTCCCTCTGCTGGTATCGCTGAGGCACTTCCCTTGCTCTTCACTGCCGCCTCGGATGGCCGTCTGACTGTTGAGGACATTGTCGCCCGCCTGTACGAGAACCCCAAGAAGATCTTCGAACTGCATGACCAGGCGGACAGCTCGGTCGAGATTGAGATTGACCGTCCGTACGTGTACAAGGGTCCTTCTTGGTCTCCGTTCAATGGCAACTTCATGAAGGGATCCGTTCAGCGTGTGATCTTCCAGGGCAAGACTTCTTGCCTCGACGGTGAGATTACTTCTGACGCTGCCAAGGGTACCGACATGTCTGGCCACCGGATTGCGCCCACTTCTCCGGTCGTCAAGCCTCTGTCGCCCTTGGTCCAGCCTCGTCCCGAGAGCTCGCTCGACCGCCGCCTGTCTCTGTCTGGAACTCCTGGTCGTGGCCTGCGTAGGGGTCTGGATCAGGCCAGTGGTGCTGAACTCGGACCCCCAATGTACGCACCATTGCCCTCGATCTCGTCCTCGCTGCTCGACATCCTCTCCCGGTCTCCGTTCCGCCAGAAGCACGTTCTCTCCGTGAACCAGTTCAACCGGTCTGACCTTCACCTGCTCTTCACTGTTGCTCAGGAGATGCGCCTTGGTGTCCAGCGCCAGGGTGTTCTCGACATCCTGAAGGGCCGTGTCCTGTGCACCCTCTTCTACGAGCCTTCCACGAGAACTTCGGCTTCGTTCGACGCCGCCATGCAGCGCCTTGGTGGACGCACCATCGCCATCTCGACGGAGCACTCGTCTACCAAGAAGGGCGAGACCTTGCAGGACACCGTCCGCACCCTTGGCTGCTACGGAGACGCTGTCGTCATGCGCCACCCCGAGGCCAGCAGCGCGAACACCGCCGCCAAATTCTCGCAGGTCCCGATCATCAACGGTGGCAACGGCAGCATCGAGCACCCGACCCAGGCGTTCTTGGATCTCTTCACCATTCGTGAGGAGCTAGGAACTGTGACTGGCTTGACCATCACTTTCACTGGTGACCTGCGCTACGGACGCACCGTCCACTCGCTCATCAAGTTGCTCCAGTTCTACGACGTCCGTGTGCAGCTTGTTGCTCCTAAGGAGCTTGCCTTGCCCGAGGAGGTCCGTCAGCAGATTGTCAGCTCCGGACAGCTCGTTCTAGAGTCTGACCGGCTGACGCCGGAGATTGTCGCTCAGTCCGACGTCCTGTACTCGACTCGCGTGCAGAAGGAGCGCTTCGCCGACCTTGAGCAGTACGACCGTCTCAAGGACAGCTTTGTCATTGACAACGCTCTCTTGAAGCACGCTAAGAGCCACATGGTGGTTATGCACCCCTTGCCCCGAAACGCTGAGATTGCGGAGGAAGTCGACTTTGACCAGCGTGCGGCATACTTCCGACAGGTACGTTACTCTATAACCCCCTGAAATGGATGGATGAATGCTAATTTTTCATAGATGAGATATGGTCTGTACTGCCGCATGGCTTTGCTTGCATTGATCATGGCGCCTTGAGTGTTTTCTTCCAACGTTTGAATATATACGGAATCCGTAAAAAGTTCATCCTGTGGAATATGTTTTCGTTTGATGATTTCGTTTCGTTCCGGTTTTGCGATTTGCGTTGCATGCGATTGATGTCTGCCCAAAAGTTATGAAGTATCTCCTTTCCTATACATATACCTGTAGTCAACACCACGATACGATAGACTAGATAAATCTTTGTATGATGAACTTGATGAATCTGTTCTGTGTTATGTATGGATTGTATTTGTGTTTTGCGTTGTGTGTTTTATGTTTTATGTTCTATGTTTTGTGTGTATGTGTGTTGTGTGGTTTACTTATGGCGTGTGTCTTTATTTCTTTTGGGCTGGCGTGTTTTCTTTCTTTTTACTATTTTATCTCTTTCTCTGGTGTTTCTGGGTACAACATGGATTGGATTTGGCGTCGTGGATTTGGATGGACTTGGATTGAAAGCTATATACCCTGGGATGATTCTATATGCAACAATCTTTTCAATATAATCAGTTTTAAAGATATCTCTTTCGTCAACTATTACTACTTTCTATGTCGAGTATCAGCACTCGTACAATTCTCCATTTAACAATGTGACGGTTAGCAGGCGGCCAAAAAGAGCTACTTGGTGGCCGTTTTAGAGTCCTGCTAACTATAACTACCGGGCAGCGAGGGCGGTGATTCACGTGACCCTCTGGTTACTGTCGGAAATGTGGCTTAGTCAGGGTTGAAAGTACGTATCAAGCGTATATGGTTGAGGTCTCTAATTCTTGCAAAAGTGTGCTATCTAGGATCCTATATACGACCGTAAATACAGTCAAGTCTCTTTAATTCGATACTCTATAAATCGATATCTGGCTAATTCGATAGAAATCGGCTGGAATAATTATTTTCCCATACAAAACCACACAAATTTCGATATTTTCGATTATCGCCTGAATTATTGGAATCATCGAATTATCAAATAAACCGCCCACTCCGCTTGAAGGAGTCAAAAATGCCTTATCAATCTATTTCAAATGACCAGAGAAAAGTTCTAAGGCGCTGGTTTCAGTCCCAGTATCCAAAGCCCCGCCAGGCAGATTGCAGCTTATGGTTTGAAAGGCAATATAAGCACCGTCTTAGCCAATCTACTGTTAGTGAGATCCTTTCTGCGAAATACAAGCATCTGGACAACGGCGAGAATCTGTCTTCTACCTCTTCATTCCGTCAACGATCTGCAAACTGGCCGATTCTTGAGAGTATACTCTGATTGGGAGCGATCCATTAGTCAACAAGGTGGTTTCTTGAACAGCCAGATACTGGTTGAGAAAGCACGACAAATCTGGCCTCAAATTCCCCAATATCGGCATCTGCCAACCCCAGAGTTTAGTGTGGGCTGGCTTGCCAACTTCAAAAAGCGTCATCATATACAAAAAAGGGCTCATCACGGTGAAGCTTCATCCACACCTCTCTCAGCTGCTGAAGAAATGAAGAATATTCGAACATTATGTGGGGAATATAACGAAGAGGATGTCTATAATATGGATGAGACAGGATTGTTTTGGAGGAGAGCACCCTCAACTGGACTTTCAAGCAATAGTCTGCCTGGTATTAAGAAAGATAAGACAAGGATCACACTTGTTGCCTGTGTCAATTGCACAGGAGCAGATCGCCTTCCTTTATGGATCATTGGCAACTCAAAGGTGCCTCGGTCTCTACGTGGATTGAATATTCAAGCCCTTGGCGGTATCTGGACATCAAACAAGAAGTCTTGGATGACATCTCTTATTATGAAAGACTGGCTTCTTGCTTTCTATGCTCATATTGGACGCCAGCGTTCAGTCCTTCTCATAATGGACAACTTCCCAGCTCATATTGGCGGTGTTGAATTAGCACCACCACCAACCAACATTAGGGTCCAATGGTTGCCTTCAAACTCTACAAGCATTTATCAACCACTTGATCAAGGCATTCTCCAGAACATGAAAGTGTATTACAAGCGCAGATGGTTGCACTACATGATTGAGCAATATGAGATGCAACTTGATCCACTATCAACTATTACATTAAATGACGCTGTCCACTGGATTCTTTCTGCGTGGAAGCATGAAGTGACAAATACTACAATCTATAACTGCTTTCGAAAAAGTACGGTTATCCAGCCACAGCTTCCAAATCTACCAAGTGACCCTATTCCAGATTTGTCAACTCTATACTGTGAAGTTCAGCGAACAGGCCATATTCATGAAGCAATATCACTGGAAAACTTCCTTGATCCTGTGGAGGAAAATATAGTTGATATGGGGGAGCCTGTTGATCTTGATTCTATTATTGCACTGCATACACAAGATACTACGAACTTCCCTGTTGAAGAGGATCAAGGGGATGAAGAAGATAGTATCATAATCCAGCCACCACCAACAGCTTTTCAAGCACTTCAGGCAATCCGTACAGTGCTAAGGTTTCAAGAATATGCACCAAGTTCTCAGCATGAAGATATCAATGTACTACAGCGGTTAGAGCGCCAGTTGCAGCAGCAGGAACTGGATTCGCGGACTCAGCGGACATTAGATTCATGGCTTATGTAATTAATATCAATGCCAAGTCTATTCAATAATTCGATAATTTGTTAATTCGATAATAAATGGTTGGAAAACTTCGATCGAATTAAAGAGACTTGACTGTACCTTATAGAGTATACTAAGCGATTGTGCGGTTTCAAAAGCAGTAATAGCAGAGTAAATACGCTGCTTTGCGCCATATGATATCAGCAAGGCATCAATCAGGCATCAGTTGGTATTGTTCGGTAAGGAACCTCTAACGTAATCTATCACCGAGAGGCGCATATCACCGAGAGGCGCGGTCGGCGGCGGCGCATACTAATTACTTCGTACATCTACGTAGTATCCTCTCCATGTTATAAAGCATGCCGAATCTATTAAATCTATTGCTATCTAAGAGGGCATTTTAATCTATTATGGCCCTCTTGGTTGCAATTGCTGCACCGTGCAGGCCGCCGTGATCTTGATGATGGCTCTTCTTGCACCTCTCTTTCTCTCAATCTTTGCAGTCCCTCATCACCAGTTAAGCTCCCTCCATCTTGAATAAAGGCTCGTGTCATCTTCTTCTTCTCTTGCTGATGCTTATTTGAAGTGCGAAGCTGATGGAGTTCTTGTTTTAATAGAACAGCATCCTGCATTGCAACTTCTGTGCTCTTCATGAATTTTTCAAGCATCTGGTCCGCGACAACTGAAGATAGAGACTGATTTTGAAGGTCTTGAATCTGCTTTTTCTGCTGATTCAACTGATAAAGATTGGCCGGTGTCCTTCCTAAATAAAAGGATTGATTGCTGGATGAGGAAGAAGGTGGAGTTGGTGTCTTCAGCTTGATATGGAGTTTTGCAAGCACTTTCTCCGGTTTAAAAGGAATAAGACCAGCAGCCGCAAATCCACTTAGTATGTTGGCCTTTGAGAATGCATGAGCATGGATTTTGGTGTAGTTAGATAGGAAATCCATTTTATCAATGGCATGGATGCCATTTTGCGCTATCTCTCTGATTTTCTGGCCATAGTAGTGCTTGAGCGGCCCAAAGCAACTTATATCAAGTGGTTGAAGTAGATGAGATGAATGAGGAGGCATATATAATGGAATAATCTTCCTCTCAGTGCAGAAATGATCGAAACTTGCAGTTGCATGGCTGCTATGGCCATCAAGAATCAAAAGGCGATATCTGCCAGCAGTCTGAGAGGCAGTATGCTTCTCAAACATCTCCTGAAGCCATTCAAATCCCAAATTATCATTTGTCCAGCCATTATCACTCATGCTAATTCTGTATTCCTTTGGAATAGCTGAATACCACTGAGATTGATGCCTTTTCCCGGCCAGGATAATCTGCGGAGGTAGAGCAGATCCGGAGGCATTTATGGTGATTATTATAGTAGTCCACTCGCGATTTCCAGGCTGGATAGATTTGACATGGCTATCTCTAGTCTCTGAGCCACAGATGACCTTTGCAGTTGATGTTACTCCCATTTGAAAGCCAGATTCATCCATATTGTATATATCCTGCTCCAGAATGCCATATCTTTCGATGGTCTCTCGAACGCGATCAAACCAGCCGTTTATCAACTCAGGATCCTCGCCTTTGGCACGTTGGTAGTCATATCGGCGGGTATATTTAGATTTGAGCTCAGGACGGCGTTTAATATACCGGTTAACCCATAGCTCACCAATGGTCGCTTTCTCGGACGATTTTAGACGTGCGGATAGGAGTAATTGGGCAAGATGATGGACATTTGATATTTGGAGAGGTAGGCCACGCTCATACATATCTAGAATCCATCTAGATAGTGTATCTTCTTCAAGTTCTGATAATTTCCGGCCATTTGCAGTGGATTCATTGCGGGAGCGGACTCCATTCAGGCGTTTCATTAAGGTTCTTGATGGCACATCAAATGCTTGTGCACAGGCAGTCTTAGATTGAAACTGGCCTTGATTAAAAGCATCAATAGCTAATTTCATCCGCTCTTCTTTAGAAAGCTCATTCATGATGGATAATTTGGTGAAAAGTAGGTTTGAAAATATGGGTGTAATCTTCAGTGGAAACCGCCGCCGACCGCGCCTTTCGGTGATATGCGCCTCTCGGTGATAGATTACGTTATATTCCGACAGTTACTAACACATGGCGGGACCCGCTTTACGAGTCGATGCCACCTACCCTCTCACAGGCTTCCGTAAATTCGGGTGGTGGGAGATTTGTAAGCGGTGGCATAAGTTATAAATCAAGACCTCCAACTGCCAGCCATTCGCCATAGCACACTTGCATGCAGAGACGCTTCCTCAGCAGAGTTTGTAAACAGAAGAAGCATAGAAGCTAAACATGAAGCCTTTCCCGTGCCATTTCCCTGGCTGCGATTCCAGCTATCTACGTAAGGAACACTTGCAGCGTCACCTTGTCCAGCATACAGCAGACACCCCGAAGACCCCATGTCCATTCTGTGACCGTGCCTTTGCCAGACAGTATGGTCCCTAGGTATATCTACAATTCACATGGTTGACAACAGTAGTGATACAATGCGCCGCCATACACGGCAGGCCCATAAAGCTGAAGCCAAACGGCTTTGCGACGTGCGCACTGAGCGGACATGCAGAGCATGTCAAGTAGCCAATTCAAGCTGTGAAGGTCGAAACCCGTGTCGGCGCTGTCTCCGCGAAAGTCTTTGTTGTTCGTTCTCGAATGATCGAGCCAGTCGCACGGTTGATAATACCAGTTCGATCCTCCAGTACACACAGCGCTATTTCCAGAATTTTCATCCGCAGTGGCCATTGCTACACCTGGGCACATACAGTATCCGGGATGAACCATCGCTTCTTCTGTATTCTGTGGTGGCCATTGGCCTTTGGACTGAAGGAACAATTTCCTCTCGGGCGACTGCGTTGGCTCTTCATGACACTATTGGGAATTCTATCTATCAGCAAAAGGTTGGTTCTGGATCTTTTCTACCCAATACTCCGATCTAACACAGAATATGATTACAGAGCCAGTGGGACAGCACATTAATACACAAAGATCAAAAGGATCATACTGCTTCTGCATGGCCCATCGCAACATACCAAGGGATTCTGCTATACCTCATCCTCTCCCTGCTGAAGTCCCGTCGGCCCCGCCAGTCACGTCAGTGTTCACTCAGCCAGTCAGACTATGATATTCTTGCTGCACTGGTGCGAACCTGTCGCAGGCACAATCTCTTCTTTTACCCCAGGATGATCGGACGGTACCACGGGATAAACTCGATGGCATGTATATGGGTGGGTGTGGAAGAGATCAAACGGCTTGGGATCGCTCTTTACAGGGTATGCAAACTGTGCAGTAACAGCAACAACAGTGACGTTGATGGAGGCAACTATCTCAAATCCGATTTCCTGACTCTGTCTGACTTGCAATTCCCCATGCCAGACAGCAACGAGCTTTGGAACGCAGAATCCAACATGGTTCTTTCCAGACGACTGGCCGAGGTAGAACCCAGTACGACGCTGGATGGTCGACTGGAGGAGAATTGGATCTTGAACCTTGGAGATGTGCCTTTTGAATGCTTTATGATTTAATGCAGCAATTCTTATGTTTATTATTACGATTATTTTCTTTTCTTTTCTTTTTTTTTTTTTTTTTTTTTTTTTTTTTTTTTTTTTTTTTTTTTTTTTTTTTTTTTTTTTTTTTTTTATTTTTTTTTTTTTTTTTTTTTTTTTTTTTTTTTTTTTTTTTTTTTTTTTTTTTGCAGCTTCTATTTTGATATATCATTTATTTCCAGATTCCGTTTCTTCCTACGTTTTTGCAAGAAAGGATATTCTGATAACGTGTAAGTTAATACTGTTTTCTTTATTTCTGAACTTCTATATAAACATAACTTTTCTATGACTAATTGTATAAAGCAAAGCCATAAAATAAAAATCAAACAATTTGTTTGGCTACACCTGGCGTCAACCACTGGACCTTCTCCGCAATACCCTCCTTCTGGAAGACATCAAGTAGCTCGGCCTGGTGCTCCGTAAAGTGCTCCCAGCTCTCAAAGTGAATAGGAACCATGACATCCGCACCAGTGACACGCATGAAATGCGCTGCCTGCTTCCCATCAAAAGTAATCTGCAGGACGCCATTAGGGTAAGGAAAGAGTGCATTACCCAAGTTCAAGACGGAAACAACAATATGCCATTTGTTCTTGATTTCCGCCAACTCGTCAATCCACACAGTATCACCGGAGAAGTATACAACGTTGGGCAAGCCAGACTCAGCGTTCACACCAAACGAGTCCGACTCTAGAATGAAACCCGTCACCTCGCCACCGGGGAAATGTTTGCACGGTGTGCCTGTAATACGGAACTCCTTGCCCCCGATATTTGCTGAAACAGTCTGCCACGGTTGGAGACCAACAACCCCAGGACGAGGCTTGAGGTTCTTCTCACCGTCTGGGGTGGTAAACACCCGCCTGCCATCGAGAAGCTGGCGGCCCAACGGGTCGAGGTTATCGACATGGTCTTCGTGACTGAGGAGAACGGCATCGATGGGTGGAAGCTCATGCAGTTCGATGGCTGGGCCGTTGATGCTGCGCAGAGCGCTAGCCGGGGGTTTGCCGGTGAAACCCCATTCGTGTAGGTTGGGGGCTTTGGCCCACCCGTCATAGACGTATGCCGAACCTGCTGGGCAAAAGACCGGGTCGGTGAGGAAGTTGATACCATCGATGGAGATGATGGCCGTGGCCGTGGAGATGTGGGTGATGGTCACGCTGCTCTTAGCCAAAGTCATCGTGGATGATATGTCTCTGAATTGTGATTTCGCAAGAGAAGAAAAGGATTCTGATATGTGGGGCTTGGAAGCGATTGACTCTAGGACTGATTGAAGGTGAGAGGAGATCAATTTTATATCTTAATCGGCAAGGGTAAACGGCTCGAGTCGAACAATGGATTATCCCACTGATGCCGTACGATTACTATTCAGGCCGATGATGCATAATCAAACTTGTAATCAATAATATCTCTTGTGGGATAGCCAAAGAAACGTCCCTAATCACACCCGGTTGATACACTGACACGAAGCCTGATTAGGTCAAACTGGGAAGTAAAATTCTTCATAGAAACATGGACACGGTTCTAGAAGGACTTAGATTAGGACATTATCCCACCGTTCGCAGTCGGAAAAAAAAAATACTGACCAGGGGCAACGTTGCATAATCACTGAGTGACTTGTGGGATACCTGAGACTATATTTCTAAGCAATCGACCAGTACATATATCATTTGTCTGGGGTAGATTGGTGCACTTTTCTTCTTTTTGGTAGTAATTATAAAGTCGAAATGAACAACAAAAATGATTTGCCTGCACTACCGGACGGAGGCTATGGCTGGGTCATGGTGCTTGCCATTTTCTGGAACAATGCGCACCACTGGGGCATTCTTTCGGTATGCTAGCCCTTATTATTATGTTCCATCATATAGAGAGCACTATCTAATGAAGATCTAGAGCTATGGAGTTTTCATGCAATGGTTCCTCGCACACCCAGAATATGTTTCCGGCACGTATCTCGACTACGCTCTCATCGGCGGCTTAGCCGCGTCGCAGTCCTGCCTTATTGCACCACTGGCAACCACAATACATCATCGATACGGTCTCAAATTTGCTATGGGTCTCGGGGTCTTGCTTGAAACTGCGGCTTTGCTCGGTGCCGCATGGAGCACCTCAATTTGGCAGCTCTATCTGAGCCAGGGTATTTGCTACGGCTGGGGCCTGGGCTTGCAGTACAGCTCGTCAACATCGGTCATCCCGCAATGGTTCAGCAAGCGTCGCAGTTTGGCAGCGGGCATCACAACCGCCGGCACTGGCACGGGAGGATTGATCTACTCCTTGGCGGCAAATGCGATGCTTGACCGCTTCGGACCCGGCTGGACGTACCGTATTCTGGCCATCGTGCAGGGCGTGGTTAGCGCTTTGTGCGTGCTGGCCTTGCGCGACAGTCCATTTGGCGCCGCAAGCCGGAATCAGGAGCATAAATCCATCAACTTCCACATTGGTAAACGATACGAGGTCTGGCTGTTCCTTGGATGGAGCTTTTTTAGCATCATGGGGTTCATGGTGATCTGGTTTTCTCTCGCGACATTTTCCCGCAGTATTGGCTTGAGCGCGCAACAGGGATCCATCATCACGGCTGTGATGAACGTTGGACAGATCATTGGACGACCGGCGATCGGATATTATAGTGATGCCGTTGGGCGGTTCAATATTGCGGCCGCTGCCACATTCATCAGCGGAGTGCTATGCCTGTCGCTTTGGGTCTGTGCAAAGTCGTATGCTGCCACACTGTGCTTTGCTTTGTTTGGAGGGTCACTGTTTGGAACTTTCTGGACTGTATTTCTTCCCTCATTTCTTTTTCCTCCTTTCCCCAATTTGTATTTGTTTTCTCTGGCATGAAATACTGAGTACTCTCACAGGTAATGGCACCTCTAAGTGCAGAAGTAGTAGCGCTCGAAGATGTTCGGTCCTGTTTAACGCTCATGTGGCTAGTCTGTGTTCTTCCAGCAACATGTACGTTATTTCCTTGGGTCACTCATCACTCACATATGCTAACACATGGCACCCCAATGCAGTTGGCGAAGCTATTGGCCTGGAGCTTCGTACTCGGGGAAACCGGCCATACCTCCATACACAGTTGTTCACTGGCTTTATGTACATTGGGGCGTCTTTGTGTGTTGTCCTCCTCCGAATTTGGAAGGCTCGGTCAGCCGGGAAATCCCAAGAGGCTAAAGCTTCTCCGGTTCCCGACTCAACGGGCCAGCCAGACTGTGAGGGAAGAGTTAGTGGTGGTGCTAATAATAGTGATGCATACTTCAAGGTTGGCAAGGTGAGGCTCTGGAAGCAGGTCTGATTTCGTTCTGCAGCATGGAATTATGTTCAATCTATGCATATTATACAAATAATTTCTGGTCTACTAATATTCCTTTGGTCTTCTGTCATGCTGGCTTTGTATAAAAGGTATTCTCATGGTGTTATCGATTTGATATATTCAATACTCATTTGGATCCTGCAATCCACATGCTTTGCTTTCTTCGAATTCGCACCCGAGTACCAGTCTACTTGGAATTCCTTGGCTTGAATTGCGTCTAGTGCACCTTGGTAATCCATTTCAAGTAGCCCGTGCGGATAGACCTCGCCCTCACCCGCGAGTAACCCTCCGAGGGTGAGGATCGTACCCTCATTTTGAGGGTTGAGGGTCTGACTCTTTCACCCGCAGTGAGGGCCCAGGTCAAGTCTTGCCCTCGTGAGGGTGACCCGCGGGTAACCCGCGGGTGGTCAAACAAGACAAAAAGTATAGACCTATGGCCTGCATAATCTATGCAAATTCTGGCCGTAAGTTTGAGTATTTCATTTACCGCTAACTACATCATCACAAATTCGCCATAGACAGAGAATTTCCGCGCTTGATCTTAAATAGATGGAAAGACTTTATATTTTTAAACTAAGAATTAGCTACAGAACCATTCTTATTGAACCTCATATCTTTCGGGAAGTTTTTATCGTTTCTGAATTCTCCCTGACAGGCGCTGTTGCGTATCGGGGAGTGGAAGAGTAGGCTCATCGTCCTCATTTTCATGGCCTGTTTCTGACATAGGCATATTGCTCCTTCGCTGCTTCCCCTGGTTCTTTTCGCTCGGTGCTTGGCCATCTTCTCAGATAGCCGCCGGCTTGTGTACACTACGTCTAGGTATAGATAGCTGGATTACGGCCCATAACATTAGAATTCGTTTTTCTTACAGGAAACGATTGTTGGATCGGGAAACAGGCATTGGGACGGAAGCGAATGATTCGCACATTAGAACTGAACATCGGACACTGGACATTGGAATTAACGAAGAACGGAACCGCCTACGGACCAAATCAACAGCCAAATTAACTATATGCCTACGTTTTCAGCGGAACTTAGCGACCACTAATCAAGCGGTCGACCTGACAGCAACATGGGAGACAACGTACACTCAGGGGGGCCACTACCCTTCCTTCACAGGATCTTGTTTCCATAATCATAGGACTCAAGCAATAGCTGCAACAAATGGAAGAACGGCGAATTGACGATATTCGACGTCTTAAGGACAAGTTGACAAACCTGCCCAGGGAGCCTCCTCTGGCACCACGACAACCAGCGCAACCTGCAACTGTAGAGACAGCTTCCCCACCGGCAGTGGATCCTGTAGGGAGTCCCCAAGCTGACAGATCCAGAAGCCTTTGATGGCCAGAATCGAAGTCTCTACCGTCAGTTTCGAAGCAAGCTGCGTGCTAAACTTGAAGTCGACAAGGAAGCCTTAGGTAACGCATATGATCGTGTGTGGTACGCCTTCGGCCGTCTAATGGGCGAGGCCGCCATGCAAGTGCTGCCCTGGATGGAGCGATTTGCTGAAAAAGAGGCTACAGAAAACAAACTGGACGGGATGCTCGACCAAATGGACTTCATCTTTCTGGATAGCCGTGCGAGATCTTGCAAGCTTGAAACAGAACAACGAGCCCTTCACCACCTTCCTGACTGAGTTCAGCCGTCTACTCATGGAAGCAGACGGTCATGACTGGCCTGAGAGCACTAAGAGATCTTATCTAGACAATGCATTAAACCGGGAGATAAACACACGCCTTGAAACGGTTGAAAAAAAATATGGATTTGAGAATTATTGTCGACAGCTGCAGCTCATTGCAGACCGGATGGAAAAGAACCAACTGCGCTACTCACGGAACAACAACAGCCTAGTACTCTCGCCGCTGGAACGATGGATGACGTAATTAACCAATCAACCAATCAGCACTAATATCACATGCTCATTCCTTGGCGGCAACGGCGGCGGCGGTAGGATATTCCGTGGAATACCGTATGCCTTCCAAAACCATCTCTAATCATCTTGGTCCTCATCTCACTACATTCTATTCCCTGCAAACTTCTTTCCCAACTGACATGAATAGTCTTGAATGGGGTAGTTGACACATATCACTTGCCTCTGTGAAACAAGGCCGTCAGCGACTTCTCTTCGTACAGTATTGTTTGTCAGGCAGGTGCATTTCTCGCCCTTATTAAGTAGGTGCAACTCTTGTTCTCAATGGGCAGGTGCAATCCTTGTTCTCGTCAGGCAGGTGCACTCTAGTCCTTATCTTACAATGGCCGCCGCCATCACCAGCTGGGTGCTCAATCCAATCCAATCTTTGACAATGTCTCGACCGCGTACTCGCAAGTTATGGTGCACTTTATCCCATGATCTTCAGCAATCATTTCCTATGGAGTGTGTTGCAGACAAAGATGATATTGACATTCTCAAAAAGAAGATCTGGGATCGTTTACCAGCACGCTTTGAATATACTCTAACTGACTACAGTGAGCTCAAGCTCTATAGCCCTGTTGTGCAACTCAATCATGAAGAAAAGTTTAGGATTGAACATGGTGAATTCCTATATCCACGCCGAATGATTACATCACTCTTCCCCGAAAGCAAGGATCCAGATGTGGATATTGTTGTTGTGAGCGGAGGTGCCACTCCACAGAAACGGAAGCGCTCGGAATCACAAAATGGTGAGAATATCCATTCTTAATGATCTTTTTATGCTAATAGTTAACAATTACACGTTACAGCAAATATACCTTGGACACTGCCCATCGCAGAGCATCGGTTGATATGCCCTCGAGAGCGTACAGTATCACAGCTTGCGGCCATTTTGGATGACATGAACATAGTCCATGTGCGTGGAACTCCAGCAAGTGGGAAAACACGTCTTTCTGAACTTTTGAGAGACTATTATCGCAAAGAGGGAAGAAAGGCATTCTTAATCAAGAAATGGGAAGAACTTGATTCCGAGGATCCTTGGGGCAGTTTTATTGAGCTTGTCAAGAAAAGGAATAAGGAACTAGAAAATGTCTCCACCACTGGTTTCACTGTGGCTTCATTACAATCTGAACATGATCTTTCTTGGATTTTGACATCAAACACTGTTATTATTGTGGATGAGGCACAGACGACCTATAGTGACGATACGCTCTGGAACACAATCTTCAAAGAGAGACTAACCCCTAATGTTTACAAATTTCAGCTATGTCTTTTCTGCTCTTACGGCAGTCCGGCAGCAGGCCCAGATCCAACATTCTTCACTCCAGTCAAGTTTTCTGACGAACAACGCATTTCATTGACGCCACAAAACCAGCAAGACTCGCCACCCATTGGTCTATTCTATGACAAAGAAGAGTTCAGGGATGTTGTTTCACGATTGCTTACATTTCATTATGAAGAGACATTCAATTTTGATGAAGGTGCCCTGGAGTATATATTCGCAGTAACAAGTGGCCATCCAGGAGCGGTGACATCGGTAGTTGATGTAATTTATGAGGTAAGTTACGTGCAAATTATCTCTTCAATTTTTTTTTTTTTTTTTTTTTCTTTTTCGTTGTTATGAACCTCCCCATATTGGGGCAGTTTGAGAGGCCATAAATTGAGCAAAGGAGCTAAAAGTTTCAGGCCTATCGCCACGACATCAAGCATGAACATGTCAAGATCTTGACAGAAGATCATGTCATCTGGTTCCTGGAGGACACTGCCACAGTCTTTAAGCTTCTAAGAACCAGGCCAGTCAATCGCTCTTTTCCAGATATATCAAGGGCTACAAATGGAAACGTGGCCACATTGAGCAAAATTACAGGAGAAGGAAGTATTCCATTTGATATTAATGATGCAAGCATCAAGTTCTGTTATCAGAATGGTTGGATTCACAGGGTAGCTCTGGATGATGGTGATGTTGCAGTTCTGCCATCGCGCTTACATGAAAAGTAATTATCCTCACATGCCCCTATTATTGATCTGATCTGACCATCTTAGATACATTGAATATTGGATTGGCAAAATGTCAATGCCCCTGCCTGCCAGATTTGACTCACTACCAAAATTATGCAAAGAGATTCTCCGCGAATTCTCCATCATGATCCTGAGGCATTCAGCTGAGGGCAAAAAGATGTCAACCGCATCACAACCCAGACCTGTGGAAGCCCAATACCAAGATGAGTTTCACAGGGGATTTGTCCATGTAGTTGGGCCAGGCGTACCAATATCCAGTGAATGGTCAAGAACCAAGGACGGTCGAGTGGATTTCTATATCCCAGAAAAAAAATGGGCGATTGAATTGTTGAGAGATCACGATAAAGTTGATGAACACATCTTTCGATTCAAGGAGGGTGGAAAATATCATTCCTGGCTAAAAGAGAATATGGTCAAGGATTGGATCATAATTGACTGTGCGACTTCTTTGCCAACCAGAGGTGTGTTCTCAATGTTCAATTCAATATCCATGAGTTATCCCACTAACAACTTAATAGGGTTCTCTGAGCCTAGGCTATGGCATGCTGTATTCATCAATGATTATTCTGGATTGCAGTTGTATAACCATCAGGAAGCTCTCATTATGTCTGTGCATCTACATATTTGAGGATTAGCAGGGATAATATGGTTATTACACTGTTTACTTGTATCTGTCTTTTATTATGGTTCTTTGTTAACTGTAACCGACCTCTCGATTTATCAGGCAATCAGATGAATTCACCAGGTTTTCTTTGTCTTGCTCCCATGGCTTCTTTTCTTCCCTCTCCAGGGCCGAATTTCTCGTCTAATGACTATCTAGTTTAGATTGGGAATACTATCTCATTTTAGCTACTAGACCGAGCCCGTGATAAACAGGGCAATACTCTTAGAGCCACAGGTGAGTTGATGACTGAGAAGGTAGACTTATAGACTTTGTATCTGGAAGTGACAGGTAACGCGGCATTTTGGTAAGAGGGTAGTGCACAAGGCGAGGCAGACAGGAGGAGGGAAAAGGGAGGATAAAGTGCGTGGTCATTCGAGGGAGCGATGTCGGGCTTTTATAGATGCAACGGACGCGTTGAGGCGGCAGAAGCGCGGTTCAATGGGGGGCCGTTTCTGGTGTCCCGCTAACCGTCACAACATTAACTTGGTATCCGTATATGCGGGATATATATTCAGGAGACTTGAACTCGCAGATAGAATAAAAATCTTTCACTGTTGACACTGTCTATAAGCAAAGCATCTTTTCTCCCCCGTCATCCATTCTATATTACATATCGTGTGGAATGCACCCATAATTGCTCCTAAACAACCATGTCTCGGTCTCTGTGCACTGCACGCCTTGAAACTATAAGATCTACAATTATGACCAGAAGCCTTGTCCATTGCTAAATAAAGCTCGACCCTTATGCTAGATCACTATAGTCCATGACGCACTGTTCCGCCCCATCGTCCATACAGAATACCGAATCAGCACGGAGTCGTGATTAATATGCAATACTCAATAGTGTCACGTACTTTGGAGGACTACCTCATTGTAGGCACGAATATGCAAATAGGCTACATATTGCATGGTTCTATGAATAGTAGTACTTGTCGGTGTGGGTTGGATATGTGTGCCCCCTCGCCGAAGATATCCCAGGCCCCGTACTCTGTACTATTATGCCATGGGCTTCCAGTAAATACAAATAGTAGACTGTTATCTGTCACTATTCACAACACTCCACGTTCCAGAACCAAAGCTGTCAGAATTTGACATCCCCGACCCATTCTTTCCATCTCATCCCATCCAGGAACACACACAACCACCATCGTATTCCCGTAAAAATGCGGCCAGTGCAAATATACTTTACTACAAACAGACTAGTGCACCCGAAAACCACAGAAATTGAGAGTTTCTGACTCGTGGTGGTTTTGGAATAAGCACGATGCCATTGCCCATTGGGCATATTAGGTTGTGATAAATCACTGTGGATGCAGGGTGTTATGTACGGGATATTGCTTTTGTGTGCGGATCTTGGATTACAGGTACGGAGTACGTGGTTGACGTATGCCTTGTTGGTTGTATAGACAAAGTACAGAGGATAATGTACAGAAAGTGCAGTCGCAAGGTGGAAATAATCGATGAGCGGTGACGGTCTGTGCCCTCAAAGTCAAACAGTCAGAGTCAGTCAAACAGAGTCAGTCAAGCACAGAACAGACCGTCCAGAGAACAGCCACGCGGGTGCAAGATTGTGAGATCAATCCATTTCGGCCCAGAGCCAGAGAACCACAGAACCACACAAAAAAGGAACTAACGAGACAACAAGCGTCTCACTTTCTTCAGCTGGTACCTGGCCTGCCGCGTGTAGTTGGACCCGGTTTGTCTTCCAATCAGGTTGAATGTGTGGTTCTCTCCATTATTCCGTGTGTGAAGAACCGGATTTTCCGTTTCCCATGGACGGAGTGGGCGGGAGTGGACGGAGCGTGGCAGACAGGTAGACTATTGACCTCAACAGTCTCTGTGCGTTTACGGTTTCCGGAGAATTCAATTATTGATTTGAATCATGTTTTTCTTTTTTTTGGTTGCAGGGCGAGTATATGGCAATTGTATGGCGATTGCAAATACTCCAACCTTACTTTGTCCGGTACGCCAAAAAGCAAAAGCAAACAGATCGGGATTGCCCCGTGCATGTCCCAGAAAGGAGTGGGTTCTACGATCGAAGAGATTGCGATCTCCGGCTGCGTGCTGGGTCCTGGTTGTGTTGTTTGGGTTGGTTCCGGTGATACCGACGAGGTTTTACTCCATGCTTCAATATTATTGATGCTATATTACTGGAATCCGCGTCATTGTTGTACGGGGAGCACTCCGGATGATAGATCATGGTCAGCACAGAGTATTACCGTAACCGTGGATCGATCAATAAAGACCCCGGAACCAGGAACTGTGAAAAAACGGGACCGGATAATATCTTTGTTTGCATTTCTTAGCGGTCAAACGGTGTGCTTATTTTCGGTAGTGGAAGTTACTCTCCTTTCCAGCCTACGGAGTGCAATACTTGTACAAAGTAGGGTGCATACAGTCCAGTGTGTGCACAAGTAGAGCATTCTGTACAGTAGACACCATACATAACATAGTATCCGTACTCTAGAGGAGAGAGAATAATAATAACAGTTGTAATAATAATAATAATAATAATAATAATGACTTTACAAGGCACACCAATTTGTCACCAGGGATTAATCGCTCCACCGATTAATATAGCAGGAAAAGTTTTGAGTCTAATACACGCGAACTGCCCGTGGTTTGCATCTTTACTACTTTGGGTAATGCCCCTTTACCTAGTCCCCTCACTACTATTGTCCGTACATTTTCCGTAACTACTCCTCTCCTTTCCATCGCTTTTCTTCTTCTCTTCTTTCCCTCTTCTTCCCCTCTTGCCGCACTCTCTCTTTCTTCTGATATTCTCCTCCCCAGTCGCTCGGGGTCTCTCATCCACGGCGTCCCTTTCTTCTTCTCCCACTCCGTGCTTCTCGCATCCGGGGAAGAAACGATGCAGTATTAATTCCACCTTTCTTTCTCGCTCCTTATCTTTCTGTAATAATTGATTATCGACTGGTCTTTCGTTCTTCGCCTCGCCTTCGTTACATTCTTCGTTGCTGTTCGACTTCCCGCCGCTCTCGCAGTGTCGCTTCTGAACCCCCTGAAACCACTTCAATATATACGACACTTACAGTAAACCCTCAAAATGGGCCCGTCTCTGAGAGATTCATCCTTCCCCCGTCCTTCGACTCGCGACCGCCCGTCGACCCGTGATGAGAACTCGCTCGTCGTCCCCAGTCGCACCTCGTCGCTGCATTCCCGCATCACCCAGCCGATCCCCTCGCAGGTCAGCTCCAAGGCCGCCCAGCGAACCCCCAAGACCCTGACTCATGCTTACATGGTCTGTGGTGTTGGCCGAGAGCCTTCGCAATGGGTCCGCGCCCCTACCCCCGCCCAGGGCAAGATCGGCCATATGAAGGGCGCCGTCGGCCAATTCTGGTTGCCCGAGATTCTGGGGAGCAGCCCCCGGTTGGAGCAGGATAATGAGATTGCCAGAGCGCTTCACTCGGCTATGAGGGTGAGTCCACCTTGGACATGTTGGATAGAAAGTGTAGCTAACTGAATAGGCGTGTTTCCCTCACGATGTCGAGATTTGCACCGGCAAGAGCCAGCCTCACTGCGTTCACCATGCCTTCGTCCTCCAACAGGATTCCTCCCACACTCTCTACGGTATCGCTTTGCGAGTCTGGTCTCGCGCTGATGAAAAGCGGGCCGAGACCATCCGGGAACTGCGAAAGAAGACGGAGCCTGATTACTACGACAATCCCGACGAGACCTACTGGATTCCCTACTGCTTGAGTTTCCTCTCCCGGTACCCCCTGTACGACTTGCTGGGTGACTACCTCCGGGGTATGTGGATTCACTGGAATAAGGCTACGAACCTGTTCCATGCCGAAGAAGTCTCGCGCATTCTGAGCTTCCCTGCCCCACGACTCAACGACCTTGTCCGTATCGACATGAAGGATTACGCCCTTTGCTACCAGTTCCCTTCGTCGCCTACCGGTTTCCAGAACTTTTCCATGTGGCCGCTCTTCACCTGCTTGTCCATCCCTAACATTGTCGGTGTTGTCGAGGCCGCTGTGTCGCCTACTCGTCGTATCATTTTCGTCAGTCACTATCCCGCCATTCTTACCGTCGCCGCTGAGACGATTCGGTACTGCGTGCGGGTCTACGAATGGAGCGGTTTGTACGTTCCCATCGTCCACGCCCGTCATGTCAAGGACCTCGTCCAGGAGCCCGGTCCGTACATCCTTGGTGTCACCGCGGAGTGCCGTACCCTGTTCAACGCCCCGTCGGATGCGCTCGTGGTGGACCTGGACCGCAACTTTGTTCTCACTTCCAGTCCGCCCAACATCCTGAGCCCCGGCCAGCGTACCAAGTTCATCAACCGTCTGACCCAGGCCCTCAATGGCGACGTCGCGCCGACCGGTGTGCCAAACCACCTGCGGTCGGCTTACGCCGGCGGCAAGCTCATCCCCGCTGGCCAAATCATTGTCATGCGGGGTGAAGTCGAGAGCGTCCAGGATCCCCCATGGTGGAACCAGGACTCCATCATGGGCGTCATGGACCGCGTCTGCGAGAAGCTAGGCCGCAACACCGGTATGAAGGCCATCTTCGGTGGCTCCGTCAAGAAGCCGCTCACGACTAAGGTCTCCATGCGCCACCTCAACGAGATCGTCCGTGAGCGCAACCAGTACTCTCGCGATGCCATGGAGGCTTGGCAAGACTTTATCAACCTCAAGGGACGTATGGACACCGAGATTGGCAAGGTCACCAAGCGCAACAACTTCCTGGTCGAGGAGCTCGAGACCTGGAAGCAGCAGTTCCTCAAGTTCCAGGCCTTTGCTGAGCAGCTCACCAAGGAAACCTCCGAGCTCAAGGTCAAGATCGAGACTCACAAGCGCGAGAACCGCCGTCTGTCTGGTCTCATTGACCAGCAGAAGGACGATCTGGCTCGTCTCACTGTCCGCCTGTCTGGTACGGAGAAGCAGCGTGACGATGCCCTGGAGGCTCTCGTTCTGCAGCAGGAGATTGCCGAAGAACTGGAGCGCGAGCGCAAGCGCAACCAGAAGGAAATGTCGGCCCTGCAGCAGACCAACTCGACGCTCAGCCGGCAGCGCGACGAGGCCCAGCGTGTGGTTGTGCACCTCCGCACTCTCATCCACGGCCAGTCGCACCACATGGAGCACATCATCCGTTCTGTTGGTTCGCCCGAGCTTTCCGACGCCGTCCAGAAGCAGGACGAGCCAAAGTCGCAACATGCCGAATCTGCCTTCAAGCGCCAGTCTTCTGTGTATTCTAGGAAGGCTTCCTTCAGAAGGGACCCTCGCCCTGAGAGGATCTCCGCCCGGGAAGTTAAGGATATCAACCCTGACTTGGAGCAGCACTTGTTGAACATGAGCGCCGGACAAGATCGTCTCTCCCGTCTCAACATCACCGACGTGGCTGACCGCTACCTCCGTGACAAGACGGACGCCATTTCCGACATCATCCGCGGCATCAGCGAGCAGTGCGCTGCCGCTGTCGAGGGCCTGCACATGGCCCAGGACGCCGTGGCCGACGACGAGCCAGGCAGGCTCGCCCCGGCCCCGGAATTCGACCACTCTGACGGCCGCTCGACCCGCGACGGTAGCGAGGTCGACCCCAGCGAGAACAACTCGCTTCACCCTGACGGCCGGGGGTCTTCCGTGCCTCCCACACCGGACCTCGTGCACAACCGCTCCAGCACCTCGATGTCGATGATTAGCAACTCGACATACCCAGAGCAGCGGTCAAGTCAGCAATACGGACCCGGCGAGATCCCGACTCGGATAGTCGAGGATGACGACGAGCATGCCCATGAATCCGGGGGTCTGGACGACCAGGCTGAGACTGGTCAACTGTCCAAGCAGGCCAGCGAGGATCTCATGCGGTCTGGTGTCTCTCGTCTTGCTGCTTAGATTTGTGCTGCTTCTGTTTAGTTTGCCCCATCAAATTTGATGATGCAATGTCCTATGTTTCTTTCTTTTCCTTGCCTTCGACGACTCCTTTCTTTTCTATACCAGATTCGAGCGTATGGCCGCCGACTGTGTGGTCCGTTTAATTTGCTTTAATTTTTTGTTACAGTATATCCCTTGTCGTCTTTCTATTTTTGCTTCTTTGGGGGTGTTATTTCCTTTTCATTTCTTCTGGGTGTGGGTTTCTTTCCTTTTTTATCTGATATAAGTTTTTTTTACTTTGCTTGATAACCCCTTTTTGTTTTCGCTTCTTCGTGGAAGAAGCTTGGGCATCGCAATGGGCCGACACTCTCCTTTGCGTCTGAGTCTACTAGACTGTCATCTCCTTATCTATATTTCTTTGTGTCTGTCTGTGTCTCTCTGTCTATAGTTCAGTGACTGGGTTTGTTCTGGCTGCTTTGAAAGTGGCTACGGACCTGGGTTGTTATTTAGTTGAGAGGCTCGCTTCTGATGTCGGGAGCGAGCAATTGATGTGTTCGTATTAAATATGTGCCTGTAGATCGGACTATATACTGTATGAGGCAAGGCTAAGCTAGGCTAGGCCAACTTCCCTGGGACAAACGGATGACCTGCACTTAAACCACCGCAAACAGCCCATGCCTGCCCATTCACGTAGCTGCTCTCTTCACTTCCCAGGAATAGTGCGACACGTGCAACTTCATCTGCAACAGCACCCCGCTGCAACGGGTTTAATTGTCCAACCTTCCTCTCCGTGCCGCGTTCCCTCGCCCGGTCAAACACAGACGCTGTCATTCCTGTCTCAATGAGCCCCGGACAGATTGCGTTGACGCGGATACCTGTGCCGGTGAGTTGGTACGCGGTTGTCTGTGCGATGGATATCACAGCAGCCTTGGAGGCAGAGTAATCTGTCGAGCCGGCGTTGGAGCGCAGACCAGCGACTGACGCAGTGCAGATGATCGAGCCGGACGGGTAGGGTTTATCCTTACTTGTGAGCTTCATAGCAGCCGCGGCGTGTTTAACAGCCAGAAACACCCTACCCAATCAACACAACCATACAACCATAGGTATAGATAAGAACATACCCCAGCGTATTAGTCCTCAACGTATCCATAAACCCCTCCCCATCAATCTCCGTAAACACAGTCGGCTGCCCAATGACGCCCGCATTCGCAAAAAACACATCCAGCCGTCCATAATTTCCCACCGCATCGTCAACAACGGCTTGAACGGCGGCTTCATCGCCCGCGTCGAAGTTCCGGATGTGCACGTCGACACCTGGGTATAGGGATGAGATCTCGCGCGCGTGGGTTGATAGGTGAGTTGTTGAGTAGTCGCAGAGATAGATTGCTCGCGCAGAATTGTGGGCGTATTGGTGGGCTGTTGCGCGGCCGATGCCGGTTGGGGAGTTTGCTCCTGTGCTTTGTTAGGATATACAATAGCTTGTATGGCGGTGTTGATGGGTACCGGTGACGATAGCAACTTTATCTTTCATCCGTCTATATATCGTTAGACATTATTAATGCAGATAGGTGTATAGAGCGCGTACGGCCCAGCAGAGTCAGGCGCTACCCGGCGAATCCTAGGGATATCCTCGAATGTGCCTGCATCGGGAATTCCCTCGGCAAGTTGTTGGCTGAGCGCTTGGAGCCGTTGTTTGGCGGACATTTTGAACAGTATAGGATTGGGTTTGCGCTTTTATCAATTGTAGCGTTATGTTCAGTATGCTCAATTAGAAAGATGAGAAGGATATTAAATACCGGGGTAAGATATACTACCCCGTACTGCTAAATATCCGATGCCAGCGCGGAGAGCCGAGGCACAAATCACGTGCTATAAAGTCCATGACTGAGAATCACCTGATTGCAGATCACCTGACCCGCACACGTCATGGCTGCAGCTGAATGCATCCCACTATCTTTTTCATTTTGCTTGACTGTCTTCTTTTGTTGTCTTTGGGATTATACTCCTATTGCTTAGTCGCTCTTTCGTTTGTGGGTGCCGCACAAGGTACTTTCTGGATTTAGTCCACGGGAAGACCCCTGCATTCCGTCTAGGCCCAGACCAGACCAGACCACCAGGATACCCCTCGACGCAAGTCTCAAAACCATGTTGCCATAATACTAAAGCCCATGAAGCCGACCGTTCAATTCACTATCCTCGACTTGCTACACAGCAGCCATGGCGGACAGTGAGCCCCAGGCCCGCTCGCCTTCACAGACATCCTCTTCCTCCTCCCGCCCTGGCCACAAAGCAAAGACCGTCCGTGCCTTATCCCAGAAACGCCATTCGACTTCGTCTAATACGACATCCGATCTGACTTCGTTCCCGTCACTCTCGCCCGATAATTCGCCGGAGGGGTTCATCGGTGAGCCTGCGCTGAATCGCTCGCTGGCTAATGCATTGGCTGACGGTAGTGCTGCGGCAGATAATGGTGGTGGTAGGGGGAATGATATTGGACGGACACGGAATCGAAAAGCTACGCTGGCTAAATTGACGAGTGAATCGCCTGCGTCGTCTGGTCGCGTGGCGTTGTTTGATGATTCGGTTGCGTTGAATACTGATGTCCCTGGTGCGTTGCATTTGGCTGATGATGCGCACATCGAGAGGTTGGTGGCGAGTAATGGGGCTGTGAAGCTGGTAAGACAGTTTGCGCGTGATTTAGCATTACGGGATGCGGAGATTTCACGGCTGCGTCTGCGTGCTGATAAACGGGAACGGGAGTTGAAGAGGATGTTAAGGGAGGTTTCGGTGTCGAATCAGGATATTGAGCGGAGGTTGTATGTGCTTGATCATCGAGACGATACAACAAATGGAAGGGCCAGCGGGAGTCACGCCGACCAGGGGGGTACGAATGGGATCGATGGGTTGATGCAGCAGGCTATGAAGGATGATGTTGGATCGGAGATGCACGAGGAGGTCAATGGGCCGGCTACCGTTCGTCCACAGCATTTCGACAATGATGCAAAGTCGGGTGCATCGAGCGAGTCAGGGATAAATCGAAAACGGCAAAGTGGTCGTGGCTGGCAGGATTTTATCTTTGGGAATACCACTGGGAGTCGGAAGACCTCTCGCGCTAGCAGTGTTATGAGCGATGTGGGGGACGTTGACGAGACAAACAAGCCGGTCCGTCGCAAGACGTTTGATGAACAATTGTCTAGCGAGCAGGCAGGAAAACCCGCCGGAGACGACTCGAGCACCCATTCGCGAAAATCCTCCAATTCCCTGTCATCATGGGCCGCCAAATTACTGGTCGGAAATAGTCAGGGCAAAGGAGATTCTACTGAGGTTGGTCGCAAAACACCTTCTGGGGAGCAGCCCAGAAACAGAGCTGTTTCGTCTGCCAATGCACCAAAAGGAGGAATGACGGCGGTGGCTGCCTTGAAACGAATCAATAGCAATGCCCCTGGTGCTCCTGGTAAACCCAGTGTATCGGGCAGAGTCAATGCTCAAACCCCGCGGAGGGCAGCACCAAGTGTTTCTCAGGGAAACGCTGATACGGCCGATCGAACTTCGAACAATCTGGGTCCGGTGGAGATGGATGCTATTCTTCCAATAGAATCTCGACCTCCTACTCTGACGCACACATATAACAATTACCAGCCGGGGGATTTGCTCACCGATAGATTTGGATTCATCTACGATCAACGGCGGAAGAAGAGACAAAGGGAGGCCAGGAGCAGTGACAGCCGCTTGAGTATTACCGAAACATTGAATGGCGTCCGAAGCGATTCTGATGGTGACGAGACACCTGCAAGCCCTGAGCGCCCGCTTTCCTCTCCATCCCCTGAGGATCCGGATTCCGGTACGGTTCAGGTCCGGAAATGGCAGGATTACTTGAGAATTCCATCAAAGCCGACGGAGCTGCTGTCTCATACGCCATCGGCTGGCCCTATTGTCGCGTTGACTACTGGCGAGGAGAGCCAGCCACGCAATGCTCCCTTCTCTGTGGACAAGAGTGGCTCTGTGTCGGTCAATCCTGTTCGGCAGCCATCCGCATCTACCTCTACGGTGGTAGCAGACCGTCCAGAGTTCGCAGGGACATCTGCTGATGAACCATTCGCCGCAACCGTGGGGATGGCTATAAGCAGCGAGCAGGAGCCGGTCCGCTTACTTCTCGACCAGTTGACAGACCTCCATGATTCGCTCCAGCGGGATAGAACTGTCCGATGGAACGAGTTCCTGCGAAAAGTGCGAGCGGAGCGGAAGAAAGAAGGCGAAGCAGCGGCCGCCGCAGCGGCAGCTGCAGACCGACCATTACAGTCAATTGACACGCCTGAAGCATCCCTGGCAGATGGAGAGGTCATTGGGATTGCTGGCCTAGGAAATAAAGGCAAGGTCGGCCGTGCCAAGTGGAAGGAGTTCCGATCTCTTGTCCTGGGCGGTATACCGGTTTCTCTCCGCGCGAAAGTCTGGTCTGAATGCAGCGGTGCGTCTGCCATGCGAATACCGGGTTACTATGATGATCTGGTGACTGGAGCTGGAGGCAGTGATCCCGATCCGTCTGTTGTAGCACAGATCGACATGGATATTTACCGCACGTTGACTGATAATGTGTTTTTCCGGATGGGGCCTGGCGTTGGCAAGTTGAGGGATGTGTTGCTGGCATACTCGCGTCGGAATCCGGAGGTCGGTTATTGTCAGGGCATGAATTTGATTGCGGCGTCGCTGCTTCTGATTACCCCGACTGCGGAGGATGCGTTTTGGATTCTTGTCTCAATGATCGAGGTTATTCTTCCGCAGCACTACTACGACCATGGATTGTTGGCCTCGCGTGCGGATCAGGTCGTGCTGCGGCAGTACATAACTGAAGTTCTGCCGAAGTTATCGGCACACCTCGACGATTTGGGGATCGAGCTTGAAGCTCTGACGTTCCAATGGTTCCTATCCGTCTTCACCGATTGTCTTTCCGCAGAAGCCCTCTACCGAGTCTGGGACGTCGTCCTCTGCCTCGACGCCAGTGCAGTCGCCAACAACCCAACCTCCACAACCCAAGAAAACGACCCCAGCACCAACACTGCCAAAACAATTGCGTCCGGCAGCGGCGGCGGCAGCACATTCTTATTCCAAGTTGCTCTGGCCCTGCTCAAGTTGAACGAGCAGCAGCTGTTGACGACGTGCTTGACACCTGCCGCGCTATATACGTACATCAATCACCAGATGACAAATCATGCGATTAGCATCGATGGATTGATTCATGCCAGTGAAGCGTTGAGAAATGTCGTTCGACGGGAGGATGTGGTGGACAGGAGGACGGAGGCGCTGAGGGAGATGAGGGAGTTCAACTAGCCTCCTCCCCACGCTTTCATGACCCTCTCGATTCATTTTTTCTGTCTTATGTATTTCCTATGTTCACATTCAGATTCTCAGATTATGCCAGGAGTTCGAATTGGTTGGTTATTAGAATGTTCAACTTGTGTTTGTTTCATGGTTAGGTTATGGGCAGGATTCTGGAGTCATTCCTTTTGATTGAGCATCAGCACAGTATTCATACAGAGATACCCCTCCTTTAGATTGATACAATGGATTGAATTTCGGTGTATTTGTGTCGGGTTGAGTGAATGTAAACATCTGCATGTAGGGCCTTGTCGCGCATGTATAATGAGTGAGACTGGCATAATTCGGAAGGCTGTTTGTATTCACCTTTTTTCTTTTTTCTCCCTTTCCCTTTCCTATCCATCTTTATCATCTATCTCTTGCTATTCAGCGTGATTTGCTACTGCTTCCATTTTCTTGTCTCTGGTGCTATCGTCTACCTTTAATCATCATGATAGCGAAGGTGGCAGCTTAGCCTATATTACCTGTTATTATCAACCAAGCAAACGAGAAGAAAATTCCACGATAGCATCAATGGAGCAACCGACAATACACGGCGTTGACGAATTTCATTACATACCACACAAAAAGGCACGAAAGAAGGCCCGGGAGCATGTCTCTTGGTGGGGTTTCAATAAGACGGTGGTTTTTACCCATGTTCCAGAGGTCACAGAAATCACGAAGGTCAGATGCATTGGGAACCGATATATTCTTTTTCTACGGAGACACTTCATGATCATGGAGATGGCCATATAGTCTAGCTCCAATGCACTGTCATAAGATGACTGAATGGCAGTCTTCAAGGCCCTCGTCATCAATGAGAAACCCCAACTCGCCATTATGCTGCCGGATTTCAATGATGTCAGGGCCACGCATAGCTGCAAAATTTGGACCAGAGAGGTCATTGAGCTTGGATAGGGCACACTATCGCGCCTTGATGAAGGGCTAACGAAAAGCTAAACAGGGAAGACTGGGATATACAGCATTCAACAGCCCTCCTATCTTCCATGTCTCAAAAACAATCTGTCAAAACACAGGGAGAGGTTATCTCTGCAAGGAAGCGAGGTTCTGAGGTCGTCAGGTTTCCTGGACTTATTTACCAGGCATACGTGATGAAGGGATTGAACGTCGACGAATGCAAAAAATTTATGATATTTGCTGGAAAAGCCTGGTGATGATGGTTGAGTCCATCCGACGCAGAGAGATAAAAAAGTGACTCTGGGTAGTAGTTCTTGGAAATTCGAAGGAATGGCAATCTATCCAGATTACGGAGATTACGGAGATCCACGACAGCTGGGAGCATACAGTCCATTTTACTTACGAGTCTTTGCTTTATTAGCTGCTTTAGCACTGGTTTTACTGAATACTTATGTTCACTGCTCAACTGATCGCATTCGACCTATGCAATGGTATATTTAATGGAAGCGAAGAAAGCTCCGTTGATGCTAAATGGCCTGAATGAGTTGTCTAACCACTACAAGCACCTGCTATTGTTGAATCACAATCTGGTAGTCTATTTTAGCCCAGAATATCAAAGCTATGAGGCAGGGCTTGCACTTCATCCAGATGCCATCGAAACATCGTGGAAGCGAAACTGAGTGCTGCCAACAGTCAAGTAGTAGAGCATGACTGCAAAAAACGAAGGACGTGACAAAGCAACGGTCTTCAGTCAATCTGCAGTGTATGCTAAGCAAACAGAGCAGATTTCATCAAACTATACCACTGGCCACAGCCGGTTTTAGATCCCTGGAAATCGAACCCGAATCTCTGTGCTTGTCTCATAAAAGCCATCTATTGGGAAGACCACAAATATCTGCGCAAGTTTGTATTCAGTGGGATTTGCGGCATTATGAGCATGCAACCATAGCCATTGCATATGGCGCTCAATTATCACAGGGACAATGAAACAAAATCAAAATCAATAAACTCTATACTGTGACAAGAATAGCGCTCTCACCTATGAAGCGAGCACTCGATCTCTTGGTGAAAGACCATCTAACCCGCTTCTTTGAACAAGCAATAGCAAGACCGCTTCTTTTACCTGAAGGTGCTCAGACTTTCATCTAACTCGAAGTCCGTAAAGATCCAACTTACGCCAGACACCATAAATAAAGCAAGAACAAAGCTCCGCTATCGGTGACGAGAGACTACATTTTCAGCTGGAGCATGAGAACGCAATGGGCTTCAATCATTGACCGGCTTCTCTGGACTGTATATGAAGCCGAAGGTAACTGATTTTCCCTTAACCAAGTGAAACCATTCATTGGGAATGGCCCTGTATCCACATTCAATGTGCGATCATATCGGTAGGGGAGAATACGGTGTCAATAGCCAAGTATTGGGGCATGACTACGCAGAAAGAGATTGTGGGACAACCCACCAGATGTTGCGAGCCACAGCATGGCTAAATCTATCGAACTGTAATGAGGACAGTCCACCATGGGCAGGCTGCTCTATCAAAAAATCTAGGAAACCCGGCTCCAGTCAGTCCGAGGTCTTCGGAAATCGAAACTGTCTCTTCGTGCTTGTTTCATGAAAGCTAACTACTGAGGAGGCCATATCTGCCTTACTCTATCGCAATCGCTCGCGTTCTTGTCGTATGAGCAAGTTTGTATGCTATAAGAGATGCTACTTCATGGGCGATAGGGTTAGGGTAGATGGAACCCAAAAGATGCGAGTATGATGAAACGAGAAGAAAGAGCAATTAAATGCTCAATTGTGTGGATCAACGCCAACCCATTCCCTACGACATATCAACCCACTCCACATCTTGGGGGGGGGAAGAAGACGAGAGCCTCGTCTCTTTGATACCAGAGGGAAACTCGCAGTCTCCGAAAGATCTAGTCGTGCACCAGGAATATCAATCAACGCCTTCGATTCTGAAACCGCATGGTGTACTATTACTATTACCGTACCTGGCTTATAACTGGCTTTTTTGGAAATATAACCGCCAACAGACGTATCACGCCCCTGGTGTTTTACCGATCCGACCATGAGGAGGCTATCATGGTTGTATTTAGTCAATACACACAAGATCCATTCGACATGTTACTCCCACACATGGACCTTTGGTCCGCGTCTTAAATGCTGAATATTAGAGGCTCCAGTTCTCTATATTGATGGAGTGATGGCAGAAAAGGTTAAGTGTACGCCGTGGAATACTTTTCTGCGCTGACTGTGTCGCTCGCATTGTATTATTGAGGCATACTGGCAATTTGTTTCTCGGGAACAGATTATGTGCCAAACATAGAAGACGCACTAGTGAGCCTTGGCTTTTCCATTGCCGTCAAACTAAGTTTCTGCATAGTGATTATCCTTGCGAGAATTGGGGTGGTTTTGAATTAATGTACTCCGGAAGTGAGATTATGAGACCGAAGTACTATGTAGTTATGTACACTTGCTTATAGAGCAGTCAGGTCTATTCCTTTCCGTCATCAACACTGAGCCCTGATTACCTAGTCTGCTTCATTGCGAGGTACCAAGATGCTTGTGGTCCTGTCAGTGTCACCCTGAGCGGAGATTTTCTGCCACTCGGAGGTCTGAGGTATGTGCACTCAATATGCATGGTGTAGTGTACTTCGAGTTTTGTAGTGATCCTTCGCCGTACGAAGTGTACCTGAGTGTAGTTCGTCCCACCGGTTAGTCCCCGGTAGAGTTTCGGACATATCAATACCAAAAGGTTCCAACAAACCCCGTGAGCTCATCTTGGCAGCGCATCTGGTAACCAAAACCGATTATTATCCAGTACCGTATTCAAATCCAACTGATCCATCGTCGGCCGCAGACCCATATCCATAACATCTCTCGCAACAGCCTTGATCTGTCTCATGATGAGCTGCGAGATCGCCCATGTCCTCGCTAGGGATTTGAACACGCCGATTGTCAGCGTAAGTCTGTCACGGCTTGGATCGGGCATTTGTCCAGCCTTCACAGAGCATGCGGCTAGTTGCACGATGGAGCTGAGGACGAGCGCGCAGATGAAGAACGGGGTGTGTTTGACCACTGGCAACCGGATGGAGGCGAGGGTTGATATCTCGCTGGCTGCTTTGACGGCCTTCATGGCATGCGCGTGGTGCGAGAAGGCTGGAATGCTGAGCGGACCATGGTGCCCGCAGATGACCTCCGCCGCGACGGCGGGGGAGGAGAGAAGGTCTGAACGGGGGAAGTGAAGGTAGACACCTGCACCGTTGACTATCATTGTAGCTTGGAACATCATCTCGTCGACTGAGCCGTCAGGACGCATGAGCTCGGCTTTGCTTTCGGGGAGGTGGTGGAACCAGCTTGCGATTCGGGCGTCGACGGCTTCGACGTGGTCTTGTTGGCCTTCGATCATTTCTTGGATGGCTACGACGCGGCCTAGGATACGGATGGCTTCGATTCGGTATGTGTATGAGGAGAAGTCTCGTTCTTCGTCGGCGAAGACACGACCGTCGAACTGTGCGATGGTTGGAGGGGGTGGGGGAGTTATTCCATCCTGGAAGATCCGTTCCTCGCACGGTAGCCCGACTTCTAGTGGTATTGCGCCGGCACGGAGAGCCTTTTGCACACCGAGTGCGGTCAGCATGCCCTCGACAACAATAAGCTCCCACCAGGTCCGACGTAGACTCTCCTCGCGCAACGGATCCCCACCGCCCAATCTGCTAGCACAGTCGGCCTGATGGAGTCCTACTTCGAACGCCATATCTGTCGCCATGGTGAGGCACTCGCCTGCTTCCGGACGCTCGTTGCGCGAATGCAGCACGATGGCTAGTAGCAGGAGCGCCTGGATCTTCTCTATGCTTAGTTCTTGTGCCATCGCAGTGGATACTACAGTTGGACGGTACGACTCGCTAGACGCTGCCGGAGTAAAGTGTGATCCGATAAACTTGATGACATGCTCGAGGAACAGCGGTATTCTGGAGCGGTCCAAACAACGAAGTGGGCGTAGAATCGGATGCGCGGAGTGGAAGTAGGAATAGTAGATATCAATCAAATAGCCATCTGTAGTACCTGAGTACGACGATGTCCCGGAATCCGGCGTCATAGGCCCGTACCCCGACACCGGTTGCTGCTGCTGTTGCTGGGGAGTAGTTGCGCTGCCCAAAACATCCGTCAAGAAAACCGGACTCTGCGAGCTAGATGACGGCGGCAAAGGATCCACAGAGGTATATTGCATTCCACTGTTCTGCAGACTCCAGTTCGGGGGGAGATCAAGCATCCCGACGGAGCTAGGGTCGAATGAGGGGACCAGATCGGTGGCTGTCTGCTCCGGGGTCGTCGGGTTGGCACGTCGCTTCTTCGAAGGGCCTTTGTAGCCGCGCCGGCTTGGGGTATACAGACATTCGCTGTTTGTGACCTGGCAGCGTCCGCATACGGGGGTTTGGCCGTCGCATTTGAGATGCTTGTGTCGACAGAGGAGGCATGCTAGAAGCGATGGGCCGGAGCCTCTGGCGTTGGGATTTGTGGGGTTGTTGGGGTCGTCCATAGTGTAAACTCGATAGTACTGTCTCTCAGATGTGATTGCGCGAGTAAGCAAAAGAGGTTGGTTAAGAAGGATAGTAGTGGCCTTCGATGCAATCAAAACAATAAGACAGTTGAGGTCGAAATGACGCGAAGCAGCGAGGATGAAAGTGGGAGGAAAAGCGACAACCAAAATGAACACGAAACAACACACTAAGCACAAATAATACAAATGACACGGAGCAAAGAGAAGCACTGGCAAATGAAAAAAAAAAAAAAAAAAAAAAACCAAAACAATCGCAACAATCGAATCAATTGTACGGCCGTTAAGCGTGGAGCCTCCGCGGGAGGTCCAGAAACAAATCAAAAGCCGCGCCGTTAGGGGACGGGTTTCGCTAAAAGCCTTAACCAGGGTTTAGTTACACTTAGCCAGCGATTAGGATGTGCTGAAGCCCGGCAGAGGCTCGTTGGGGCCGTGGCGGGAGGAAGAGCCGCCCGAGCTGAAAGGTGTCACTTTCGACACTACCAGCCGGCTTCAGCTTAACAGCCACCGCAAAGATATCTATCTACAAGTACGTATAAAAGGAGAGATTGAGCCGCAGGTAATTGTTCTCTTGATTTTTGTATTCGCGACTATTCCTCTGGATAGCAGCAGCAGCAGCAGATAGCTAATTCCAGCTACAGCACAGCTCCGATCTCCTATCCACCTCGATCCCACTTGATCTCTCCTACCCCTATCAAATCATCCAATAAATCTCTCAAAATGATCTCCGACAACGATCTCTACCGCCTCGCCCTCTTCCTCGGCACCTGCGCCATGATGATGATCGTCCTCTACCACTTCCTCGAGGTCAATGCCCACGACGACGAAGCCGACGAGCAACCTCAGAAGAACACCGGATCCGCGGACAAGTCTTTGAATTTGGGGATTACGAGCGATGGAGTGCCGTTGGCTGCCGCTGCTGCTGCCGCTGGAGGTTCGAGTTCGTCAGCTATTGGAGGGGGGAAAGGGAGGTAATGGGTATACGGAGTATGGGGAATATATATGGACGTGAAGGAGTGGAGTATGGTAAAATGATATGAGTACGTGGTGGAATTGGCTGTGAGCAATTTTTATGTCCTGGTGTACAATACATACGGTACGCCTGTTTGACATCTATTCAATCTCAATTAAATGTATGGTATCAAGACTCCCCTAGCTACCCAAACGCCAGATGCTTCTAATATCAACAAATCACGCTTATCCACGAAATAAATATGCACAAAAGAGGAATAATATACGAAGAAAAGAAACAACATGGGTATCAAGACTCGATCTCAGACTCGGATTCCCGAGCAGGTCCTTCCTCCGGCTCAGAATACAACTCATAAAACTCCTCGTCATTACTGACTCGCTCACTACGCACAGGTGTTGCCAACTGACAGCCTCCTGGGTCCAACCCCACTCCAATCCTCTCCTTGTGTCTTTGCACCGCCCTCAGGACCTCCCGGGCCTTGTCTTGTTGAGAGGTGTTGCCGTGGACTCGATTAAACGCGCGGATAGAGCTATAGCTAGCTGGAAGGATAAGTGAATCTTCGCCTCCTATTTGATTCGATTCCGGCGTTGCATAGGTTCCTGCGCTGTTCTCGCTGGTTTTATCGTCCACTATATGAATTACCATAGGTACACGTTAATAAGAGTTTTCGTTGTGATGAGAGCACGTGAAACATTGCCACAGCTAAAGCATAATGTCTGTCTCACCAGTTTGAGGCACTGATGGTCCGTCTCCCAGTTTCCACGCAAGTGGATCGAGGTGATTGGACTTCACATGATTGAACAGCTCCGCCGCAGCCATCGGATCGTTACAGTCGCATCCCGACCAGCTACACGTAATGGTATACGGAATATGTGACTTGAGAAGATGATGTCTAAGGAGCTCAAGGTTGTGCAGCTCTGACTGACAGTTCTGCCATTCACACGCATAAACTGGGTACGAAACTGGCGGCGCAGACAAGGGAATCGACACTTCAACCTTGGGCGCAGACTTCTTCCCCACCATCGTCTCAGGTTGCTTTGGCTTATTTGGCGTTCTACCTCGTCGTGCTGACTGAGATGGCGTGGACTTGTTTGATCTTGCTGGTGAAGACGGTAGCCGAGGAAGCGATATGGCCTTCAGCTTCTGAGGTCGCGGTGACGATTTCGGAGGTCGCACCTGCACCAATGGCACCGGCGATTGTTTAGGTACAGAAGCTGGAGATTGTGGACGACCTTGTGGTTGCTTTGGCTCTGGCTGCTTCTTCTTCTTCTTCCTCTTCTTCTGTGGCTGCTCTTGTTTTTTTTGCTGCTGTGGTTGCGGAACAGAATCCGAGACCGCGGGCGGAAACGAAGGCGGAGTAGGACGAGGCGAGGCTGTAATTGGCTGTTGCTGGTCACGTGGCGGTGCTGCGGGCGGTGTACGAGGCAGAGCGGCAGAATGACTGGCCGGACATGCTTGCTGCGCAGGAGGCCATCCATTAACGGCGGGAGATTGAATTGGGACTGGGGGAGGTGGTATATGCTTGCTGACAGGTTCAGGGTCCGCATGCATATGGGGGACTTGCATGTTGGGAGTATCGACAATGTCCCAGCGAATGGTTGCCAAGTCGGCTGTGTTGTCAACCAAATTGAAGATGTCGCGCAATCGGGACAAATGGTGGTTCAGAGCGGGTTCTGTAGGGTGTCGGCCAGATGCCACTAGAATGTCTCTCGCGACGGTTTTGGGGTCGTATGCCATCTTCTCTGCAGCATCCTTTTTGTTAAGAGGTCGAATGATGTCGTTGCGGTCCCGCAGGACGGTTCCACGGGTGGGATGAGATGGTTGATAAGAATAACCTGACAATTTATGTTTACTGATTCCTTTTGCCTGTCCGCCGGATTCAACGCGACGGCGCTTGGCATCATCATTTAGACTCGATGCTAGAGGAGCTCGGGGCTTTGGAGCAGGTAGACGTCGGGCGGAAACGGCAGGCGGACGCTGCTGAGCTGAAGGGGCAGGTCCTGGAGCAAGATCTGGAGCTGGACGCGCGAAAATGGGTTGTGTATGAGGAGGAGGGTGACTCGTTGCCAGGTTTGGAGCTTGGGACGACATCGTGGACGGATGATGTCCCCGAAAGCCCACTGGAGCTGCAGACTGCGGGCACTGCGGCGGGTGTTGCTGCTGCAGCGCCGGCTGGTAATGTTGCTGGTGTGGTTGAGCTGGCATCAGCGCAGGAGGAAAGAAGGACCCGTGTGGGGACATGTAGGAGTATACATTCTGAGGTTGATAGGTCACGGATGATTTTAGCGCGCTTTGAGCCAGAGCAATCGGATCCCTATCCATATGGCCGTCATAGCCCGGAGTGCTGTTCTGTCCGACATGCCGCGTTTGCACGTCTGGGTAGCCGTTGGTTGCGCCCAGGGAGAAACTGGGTTGCGGCCAATAATTCGCGATCCACTCGTAGTCTTCTGCTGGCATCATGGTCAAGATAGGCCACCCTCTCGCTACGCGAGAAGGGGCTGTTGAGCGTATTTCAGATCAATCGGACAGACAGGGTGGACGTTTGGAAAGAGGAGTGAGAGTGATGATCGTTCGTAATGGTGTCGCGAATAACACCGACGCGATAAGTGAATCTGTACTGATCTCAGCTAAACGAGCGTAGACCTCATAGATAGCCGCAGTCAGAGCGATTGACATTACCCTTTCCGGATAGCGGAGCGCGGTCCAATCACAACGCAGCAGCCAGCCCTAGGCTAAGCGGGTAAGTCATGTGACGCACACTCGGGCGGCGCACACAATTTCGGCTAACCAGAAGTTCGACGCAAGAGACCTTTTCGACGACCTTACGACGACAACGTTCACCACGACCCCCTCTAGAGCCCGGTGTTAATACTCAAAGGAGGCTCGACAAGATGACCGTCATCAACCATGGTGCGTGTTTTTTTTCCCGTTTATATATGGTGGAACAATGAAATGATGGAATTGTGATGGTGGTGGTGGTTGGGGATACAACTGGGATTACGAGGGATATTGGCTATGTCCATGTTGAATCTGGTTATGCTGACGGTTTTCACCAACAGCCCTCGCCTCTTCGCGCAGCAAGTCGCGCAAGGCGCACTTCAGCGCTCCCTCCAGCGAGCGCCGTGTCATCATGAGCGCTCCTCTGAGCAAGGAACTCCGTGAGAAGCACAACGTACGCCGCCTACTCTATTCTCCCCTATACGCTCTCGCTTCTACGCCGATCTCCCAGAATTGTCTCGAGAAATTGTTGAATGGAATGGTACCTAAGTGAAGGAACAATGCTGGACGACCGTTTTCGAAGGAACATTTCTGGGAGACAAGCGGAGCGAGGGACAGCATCTGTCGAGGAAACCGGACTAACAGATTTTAGGTCCGCTCCATCCCCATCCGCAAGGACGACGAGGTCACCATCGTCCGGGGCTCCAACAAGGGCCGTGAGGGCAAGATCACCAGCGTGTACCGTCTCAAGTGGGTTGTGCACGTCGAGCGTGTTGTTCGCGAGAAGTCCAACGGCCAGAGCGTTCCCCTCGGCATCGCCCCCTCGAAGGTTGTCATCACCAAGCTCCGGATGGACAAGGATCGTGAGCAGATTCTGGAGCGCATTGCTAAGGGACGTGAGGCGGCCAAGTCTTCGTAAAGGGTTTTTTCGCATCGGTTCTGTTTTCTTGTTGCAAATTAGGGTGATGGCGTGGGAGTATATGAGATACTCAAAATGAAAATACCTGCTACGGCCAGGCTTCCGTCTTCAAGGTTATGAATGGGATACAAAAAAAGCGAAAATTCTCACCTTCTCCTTCATCCGGTCTACAACCGGCGCCTTTTCCTCACCCAGAAATCTCTTAGGTATCCTTGAATGCCAAATTCTAATGTTCAGTGTTCCTTCTCCCTCCCATTTCAGCCATGAGTCACCCGCTTCACCCATTCGATACCACTTGCAACCGTCCCGGATCGCTTCAATGACTGCCCATTGCGCCATCGATTGTCGAACTACAACCCACGACATATCTTCCCACGACACCGCCACATTATCACCTTATCATACCCCATCTACGGATGACCATGGGTTGACGAGGTAAACAGCTGGCGTAGAGTGAATCACAGAAGCTGGCCAATGACCATGCTTCTGCTCGCTTGCAGACTCGTACTGATCCCCATGAAGCTACGAGTTTGAGAGTGAGGAACATGTAATTTCGTAGTCTCGTTTTATAATACAATTGATCTTTTACATCTTCTATATTCTATCTTAACTACATACAGGATAGTGCATCTAAACAACGATCTTATCTCCATACTCCTCCAAAAACTCCTTGCTATACGGATAATCCAAGTACCCCTCCGCCTGCATCGGGGTGTAAAACGAAGGCCGATGGTACGCATTCGGTGCAATCCCCTTCTGCATCCTATACACCAAATCCGGCGTCGACAGGAAATACCGACCAAGCACCAGCGCCACGTTCCGGTCCTCATACACCCCATCCAGATAATGCCGTGCATTGTCAGGTGTAAACCCTCCTGCTAATAAAACGACAGACTGGTCCCCCCAAACATCAAGCACGAAATCAACCTGTTCAGGCGTATCAATGTCCTCGCTGTTTGTAACCCGCGCCTCAATAATATGCAGATATCCCAGCCCCAACTCCTTGAGAGCCCTTGTCAACTCCGTAAACTGCGGCACGGGGTCTGCCATCCGCATGTCTTGGAACCGACTCCATGGGCTGATTCTGTAACCCGTCCTCTCAGCCCCAATAACGTTGCTCACAGCACGCGCAACTTCAACGCCGAACCGGTTGCGGTTCTCCACACTCCCGCCCCAGATATCACTCCGGTGGTTACTAGTATCCTGCGTAAACTGATCGATCAAGTACCCATTCGCGCCGTGGATCTCCACGCCGTCGAAACCAGCCTTCATCGCACACCGCGCTGCGTGTGCGAATTCACTAATGGACGACTTGATGTCGTCCTCGCTCATCGCCCTCGGCGTCGCCATCCCCGTAATTGGGATGGCGCTCGGCGCATCAACACTAAATCTCTTGCTCGCAGCAGCATCGGGCATCCCCGCACGTCCGGGGGCAACGATCTGGCAGTACATATAACACCCGCGTGCGTGTACTGCGTCGGTAATCTCCCTCCACCGCTTGATCTGTTCCTCGTTCCAGATACCTGGGGCGTGCGGGAAGGAGGACGCTGTGCGGGGGGAGATCGTGCATGCTTCGCTGATTATCAATGTTCCCGGGTGAACGGCGCGTTGCGTGTAGTAGGAGATTGTCATGGGGAGTTGGATGTTGTGCGAGTCGGCGCGGAGGCGGGTTAGAGGGGCCATCACTATGCGGTGGGAGGCAGTTATGTGACCAGTTGTGAAGGGGGTGAATGTTTTAGTCATTTTGGTGGTTTTGTGCTGTTTGAAGGTGTTTGATGGGGTTGTCTGGCTTCAGTTGAGGCAATTGGGGGGAGTGTAGGTGAAGAGCAGGATCTACTGGAACTTTATAGCTAACTAAATCTGGGTGATTATCAATTAGTGGCCAATCATATCTGGGCCGGGGTTAGTCTATTGCAACATCAGAGTCGAGGGTAGGCATTGATAAGAGGAAAGAGATCAATTGATCAATTAGGGTGTGGGCTGCCTGCATCTACTGTCTATAGTTGGTGTTCGCAATTTTATGTGCATGCATGCATGCGGATATAAAATTCTGCAACTACCCGAAGATCCCTGTCGGGTATATATATCTCGGTGCGGAGTATATACTGCAGCAGATTCTATTTAGCTGAAGCCTCATAATATGCAATCAAATACAAACCCATTAATATAAGAATGACTGGATACACAATACTAGCATGATATCGTAAAATACTACACAACTAACCCACACACCTCCCCCAAGCTGGCAGTCCACACCCCATCCCGACAAACAAATACAACAAGAAAATTACCACCACCACAACCATAATCATCAACTTAGTATTCTTCCACCACATCTTCCTCCGTAACCCGCGGCTCCGAATCCGAAAATCGTGCGCACTCCCTCCCAACCGATCCGTCTTGTCAACCAACAAATCAATTCTCTCCCCGCGCTCCAACACCCGCTCGATATTCTCCGTCATGATTCCCCGCACATCGTCGATGTCTCGCTTCGCCAGCGCCAGCGAGTCTGATGGAGAGGCTGTGTTGAAAGTCTGTAGCAGCGACCGCAACTCCACATTAAACGCCGCACACCCGTACGCAGGCAGAGACGGGAAATCATTACTCGACGGCGGATACGTAGACAGGAACTTGCGCTTCATCTCCAGCAGGAACGCGAACGGAATGCGACGGCCTTGCTCGGCGGCTGCGACGACGATGTAGCTCAGCGGGAGGTGGGATGCGGGCTCATGGCGGGTTGCATCGTCGGATGCTTCTCCCGTTGGGGAGTCGGCGATGCAGTGCACGAAGAGCCGGTCGTGGGTGTAGGTGAGTTTCTGGGACTTATCGTGCGTGATCTTGGGGAGGATTATGGAGGCTAGGGATGAGGCGGAGGTGGACGATGTTCCTGGGGCGGAGTGTTCGGTGAGGATTGTTGTGCGATGGGCTATACAGGTGCTGGTTTTGTTAGCTTTTTGTATGCTATGGCTGTCTGGCAGACAACGTACTAGAGGAGGAAGCTCGGGGGTTTGGATGAGGAAGCCATGCTGGCGGATGGCTTTCGACTGAGTGATGAGCCAAGTGATGAGCTTGGTAGAGTATCCGATGTCTCTGTCAAGTAGGCTGGAGGTAGAGAAAGACAGGACTTCCGACAGCGGCGATGAACACGATGGATGAAGCCCGTGACGTCGCGCCAAGAACCCCAGATTATGTCACGTGAATATTGCGATAAATCAGTCAAGACAAACAGAGGAATTGTCAAGGACTGGAGGTGATCAGAAAAAAGTGATATTATGGTGTGTTTGGGGTGTTGGTGTAGATGTGCTTGGCCACGCGGGCTTTCTAGCTCTGCAGGATTCAGATTGCGGTGAACAATCAAAAGCAACGTCACGGTCTATGCTTGTATATTCTATCATTATCCATATCTATGTACTCATCTCATCTAGTTTCTATCTGTTGATCCAAAATCTAGGCTAGTTCAGGCCAGTACTTCTGCACAATCGTCTTCTTGTTCACCTTGCCCATGGCGTTGCGTTCAATAGCATCGACCACCTTCAACACAGTCGGGATCTTATAAGGTGCCATTTCTTGCTTCAGCTGTGTGCGCAGAGCCTGGAGCTCCAACGGCTCGGTCTGTCCTATTAGTCTCAATCCGAAACCAGGGAGCGAGAGAAACTTACACCAGGTCGCTGCTTAACGACTGCACCCACACGTTGGCCCCATTCTTCATCTGCTAAACCAACCACGGCGACTTCTTGAATGGCGTCCAAGCCAAGCATCTTCCGTTCCACTTCCAGTGCGGAGATCTTGTATCCGCCCGACTTGATGAGATCGACTGACGCGCGACCCTGAATAAAATATGCGCCAGCTGCATCCCGCTTGGCGACGTCTCCGGTCTTAAACCAGCCATCCGAAGTAAATTCCTTAGTAGTCGCCTCTGGTCGTCTCCAGTATTCCTTGAAGACATTGTCGCCCTTGATCTCGATCATACCATCCTCATCCACGGCGTCGATGACTGCGCCGGTCTCTTTGTTTGTAAGGCGCACCTGCACGCCAGGAAGAGGCCATCCCACACTTCCGTCGATTCGTTTCTCAACTTCCAATCCGCAACTCAATCCCATGCCGATTTCTGTCATGCCATACCGCTCTAGCAGAGTCTGACCGGTAATATCTGCAAATTTGGACTTGATAGGTGTAGGGAGAGCCGCTGAACCACTGACAATAAGCCGCAGTGCCTTGGCCCCAGCACGAGCAGCAGCCTCGTGTTCCGTACCGCGGATGTTGGTATCGAAGTAGTCTACCAACCGCGAGTAGATAGTTGGAACGGCAAAGAACATGGTCGACGAACCTTGGTCCTGCCACCGGTTCCAGATCATCTTAGGGTCAAATTTTGGATGCATCTCAACAGTGACTCCACTTAGAAAGCTGGCTGTGAGGCCGTTGACGATGCCGTGAATGTGGTGTAGCGGGAGAACGTGGATCAGGCGGTCGGAGGAGCTGTATTCCCAGGCTTCGACTAAGCATCCAGCTTGGAATGTGATATTTCTGTGTGTTGTTACGCAGCCCTTGGGGCTCGACGTAGTACCGGACGTGTAAATCATAAGTGCCCGCTGGTCCAGAGGGCATTCTAAACTAAAAGGAGGGAGAGCCGCTTCGTTATTCTGGGAGAACGGCGCCAGGGTCATGAATCGGATGTTTTTCGTAATCCCCTCACGGAGCGGTGCTTCGAATCTGTCAAACGATGGGTGCAGGATGATCAACGAGGGATCTGAATCACCAATCGTGTATAGCAGCTCTTTAGCGGGGTGGGTGGTGCCTATCTTTGTTAGCCATGCTCAGTTCCTAGTTATGTCGGATACATACACAGTGGTACACAGACACCACCTGCAGCCCAAACAGCCCATTGCACCACTACATAATCGTACCCATTCGGCGTAAGGAATGCGATACGTCGTTCTTCCAAACCCTCTGTGTCTGTAAGCCCCAATTCCTCCAGAATGAAGCTTTTCATTGCACCCGCGTCCGCCAGGAGTTGGCGATAAGTGAACTGCTGCCCCTTGGAGGCATCGTCCACTGCGATCTTGTCCGGGGTATTCTCAGCATGCTTCTTCGCCTCGATGAATAGAGGTAACGAGGGGACGGAGTGTGTTGCCAATTGGCTGTTCGCGGGTTGCGCAGCCATTGTGTCAATTGCGTGGTTTACCAGTTGGTCGATATATACAGTGAGGAATTCAGTGAGAATGAGGGGAATTGGAGTATGGGGCGTAGGGGGTTGTTAAGCGGAGTTTATCGGTTTTTAGTACGATAAGCTTAAGTGAGTGTCGGAGAGAATGACCGTCAGAATCCGTACAAAGACCGAAAAAAGAAATATAAAAAGCAAACAGAGATATGTAAGAATCACAATTGAATTTCAATATACTCCCTCAATTGCAACAATAGCTGGTTAGTATGTACGTAGTTGTACTCGTTATCGGTAAAACACGTGATACCACGTGTAGCCCTATCGCGATGTCGGAGTCGGAGTTAACAGCGGCGGCGACGAAAAGTTGCGATGCTCGAAGGACTGCGGCAACATCATGCTTCGTCGACCGCTTCTATGGACGGGGATCCTGAGAACCCCGAGTCCGCGTTTTCTACGCTATGCCTCCTCCGTACCCCCATTGATTCGCATTGACAAGGGGACTTTCTACCAGCGCTATCCCACCCCCGATGACGCCGCTACGGGCCAGAACCCGCCTCTGTTTCCGAACCTCAATTTCGTCCTGCCAGCTAAGCCAGAGGGTGCTTCCACAGAGAACAAAGACGAGTCGCAGCAGAATTGGGCTGTGATTGGTTCGTCTGGGCGAACGAGTTTTCTCGACGTCTTCCGCGGCCAGTATATCTGCGAACCCCCCACCGCCCGCAGCTATCCGTTCCTCCTTACAGATGAGATTGCCGAGAAGGATCCGCGGTTACGGTTTGTCGGGAATGCTGTGCAGTATATTGGGTTCAGTGGTGAGGGTTCTGGGGCTATTGGTGGTACGCGCGGTGCCTACTTAAGTGCGAGATATGAGAGTCACCGGGAAGAAACGGATTGGACTGTTGGACAATATCTCAAGGGACAGACAGAGTTGAATCCATTAGAAGGTTTTGAAGATGGGAAGGTCAAGGACAAGGAGCTATTGAATCAGGTTATTTCCGATCTGCGACTGAAGGAGCTGCTTGACATGCCGGTAGCAAACCTTAGCAATGGCCAGACAAGACGTGCGCGGATTGCAAAGGCGTTGCTTAGCAAGCCAGAACTGCTGTTACTGGATGATCCTTTCAGTAAGTCTTCATACGGTATTCTGTATAACTTTTGCTAATTGGCATCCAGTGGGACTCGATCCGGCCACCGTCCGGGGTATCTCCGGTTTCCTCCATAAATTGGCAGCCAAAAGCTCACCCCGATTGATTCTTGCTCTACGCCCACAAGATACCGTCCCGAATTGGATCACACATGTAGTTATTCTCGGAAACAACAACCGAGTTCTTTTACAAGGATCCAGGGCGGAAGTTGACCAGGCTTTAGGGGTGTGGGCACACTTACCCACTAAGAGTCAGACTGGTCTTCATCCGGAGGATAAGAAGATATATGCAAGGGCAGCGGATGATATGGAGAAGGGATTTTTGGATAAGCAGTTGCTCTGGGATCTGAACCTGTTCAAACCAAAAGCGGGCAAGACGGTGCCCGTGGCTGCGCAGGGAGGAGAGCCGCTGATCGAGATGGATGGCGTGCGCGTGCAGTACGGTGACAAGGTGGTTCTTGGTAACTGGGAACAGGACATCGACGGAAAGAAACAAGGGGGGCTACACTGGACAGTCCGTCGTGGTCAGCGCTGGGTGGTGCTTGGAGCAAACGGCTCAGGCAAGACCACTCTGCTCTCGATGATCACATCAGACCACCCACAAGCATATGCCATGCCACTGAAACTATTCGGACGATCCCGTCTCCCCGAGCCCGGTAAACCAGGGATCTCACTATTCGAGCTCCAATCCCGCATGGGCCACTCCTCCCCCGAAATCCATGCCTTCTTCCCTCGCCAACTGACCCTCCGCCAATCCGTTGAGTCCGCCTTCGCAGATACCTTCCTCTCAAAACCCAAACTAAACCATGACCGCGACCTTGACGTCAGCGCCGCCCTCCGCTTCTTTAAAGCCGAACTCGACCCCGACGCCGCATGTATCAAAGAAAACCCTCCTAGCATCGAGAGCAAATCCGGCGAAGCCTTCCCGGACATCGGCCTCTCCCACCGAATGCAAAAACAACCCTACTTCCCAACAGACTACGATGTCGATTACGCTGACACCGTCACCTTCGGACAACTCAGCACCGCCCAGCAACGCGTCGTCCTCTTCATTCGCGCGCTTATCCATAAACCAGATATCATCATCCTCGACGAGGCACTGTCCAGCATGCCAGCCTCCACACGAGACAAGTGCATCACCTTCCTCGAGACTGGTGAAGTTATCCCCCAACATTTCATTCCACCGCCCAGCACCCGCCGCCCCAAGAACGAACAACTCCCCATCAAGGGCTTTAACTCTGACCCCGCGACAATCCGCCACACAGGTATCTCAGATAACCAAGCACTGATCATGATCAGCCACGTCAAGGAGGAAATCCCCGATACTATACGACACTATATGCGTCTCCCGTCAGACCCGGGCGACGGCGCGGAACCGTTGGATTTTAGACTCGGTGTGCTGGAGAACGATTGGGTTATGAGTGACTCGCCGATTTGGGAAAGGGTGTGGTCACCGCCGTCGGAATTCGCGAAGCCGTTCAAGGCTGTTAAGGCGAGGGCCGTGGAGCCGGAGGAGAAGGGGAGGAAACAGAGGAGGAGTAAGGCGGAGATGATAGCGGAGAGGGCGAAGACTGGGGAGGCTACGGAAGAGCCAGAAGAACAGGCCGAGTCTGAAGAGCCAGAGGTGAATCCTACTCGAGGGAGGAAGAAGACAGAGCAGCCAGATGAACCGGAGCAGAAACCCGCTCGTGGACGCAAGAAGATAGTAGAAGAGCAGCTGGAGGAGCCCGAGCAGAAGCCTTCTCGTCGCGGACGGCCAAGGAAGACAAAGGAACCTACAGAGCCTACTACTAAAGGTCGTGGGCGACCAAAGAAAGCAAACTAAGATGTACAATTTAGATTTGTATATACGCTGTACTTATGTGAATCACAGAATATGAATGCTCCATGTGCAACAGTTAAAATGAAATTATTCCACTACTCTAAAAAGAAGGCTGCTCCGCAGCAGCCCTGGCCAGCCCCGAAATCAACGACTCCGACCTCGTCATCTCCGGCCTATTCTCCCTCTCCTCGCCACTCATCTCCAGTCCCCTCGCGATAAGATCCGTGAAATCAACAGCAACCTCCCTCAGCACCTCCGCTTGTTCATGTACGATGTCGATGCATTTCTGCCAGACCGTGGTCCCGCGTTGCACGGTGCTGAGCTGTCGCGTGAGAAGCGCGTTGAAACCGTCGAGGTGCTGCTTGGCCCATTTGATACAGGCGCTGGTCATTACGGAGGGGAAGCATTGCTGGTAGATGCTGATAGTGTGTTTGACGAGGGTGAAGTAGACGTAGGAGATTTGGAAGATGTACTGGGGGAGGTCGCCTTCGAAGACGCAGCCACTGAATGGGTTAGTATTGCGAACAGGATGATTGTTAGGGTGACATACCGGATTCGCTTGGTTATGACGTCGGACCTGGCTTTCAGGTAGGCTTCTCGGGCTTGGTCCTCGAATCCCAGACGCGTAAGCCAGCCCACTTTGGTCTTGGTAGCATTCGGGAATGAATTGGTGTCGACCAGAGACCGCGATAACACACCGGCTAGCTTGGCCGCTCGCTCATCGACCTTTCCGTTGATCACGTCCTGCGCGATCGTGTTACCCTTGAGACCCTTGGCTAGCTTTCGCAGTCGCTCAATGGATGAAACGGCCTCTTCAAAACGTTGCAAGGCGATATCGATGTCCAACTCGTCAACTTGGCCCTCAACCCAGCGCATGTTTTGCTGCTTTCCGTCTACATCGATGCGTAGTTCTGGCTTGTCACGCGGGTTGTCCGAGCCACCATCGTAAAAATCGCTAAGCTTCAATGAACCCAATGACGACTGCCTCGCACCAGCCAAGTAACCGAATGACTCGTTGGATCTGCTGGCTGCTTCTGTCTCCGACCGTAGCGTCCGTCGCAGATCGTCGACGGCTTTGCGGAACGTGGCGAGTAGTTCCTTCTTCGCGGGACTGTTGCGCTTGTCGTGGCGGTAGGTGAACGGCTTCGCTCCAACCCGGATAACTATTGCGCTCGAGATACCACGGTCTTCGGCCTCATCGCGAGCTTGCCCGGCACCCATGTTGGAACCGAGATCAATCATGTCGATATCTTGCAATGGCCAGCACTGCTCTGCCACGAGTTTTGTCGGAACCGGACCACGGTGGTTGCTCTGGTCTACCCGCTTTCGCTTCTTCACTGCCACCAGGAGGTGATCGTTCAGCAACACAATGTGAACCGGTCGTCTCGGTTTCCACGTCGCTGAATCGAGCTCAACCCAATTGCCTGTTTCAATCACAATATGACGTCCCGAGACAGCCGGAAGGAACTTTTGCGATCCCTCCACGGTCTTCCACAACGTTTGTAGCTGTACATTCCACATGCTTTCCAGGTTGGCCACGGAGCTGCGATTGGCATTGCGCTTGGGTAGACGCTCGTCGGTAGTAGGTGACATGGGATTAGGCGAATTTCCAATGGTAGTCTGCCCCAGTGCCGTTGTGAGTTCTGCCATCAACGTACGGAGAGTCCGCATTTCGCCCTTGAGCTTCTCTGCTTCTTTACTGATTTTGATGAACTGCGTTCGGTTTTGGTATACATTCTGCTGGAGATCGGTCGACGTGCGGTTCTTCACTTTCCGGAGAGCGTTTTGGTAGTCGCGAATTTCCTCCTCGGACGCGTTTGCGAGGAGATTAGCGACATCTACAACGTCATGTGTTAGTTCCAGCCCAAAGATGTCACCCTATCAAGGCTACTCACATCGATCAACCGGTAGACTAGGGTCCCGCAGCACATTCAAATCAACCTCCGGAGGCCCAGACGGATCATGCGATGGCCTAGTATTGCTAGCTGGAGGCGGACCTAGCCCGCCATACCCCGGAGGCAGCCCCGGAACCGGAGGGGGAGCGTCGAAATCCGGGACCTGATTGAAGCGGGTCGAGTAGCGGCGCTTGACCAGATCAGAGGTCGCATCGCTCTGAGGGGCTCTTTCGCGCGCGGTGGCCGATGGGGCCTTCTTTTGGGCTGAATCGGCTGCTCGATTGTTGGAAGGGGCAGGGTCGGCGATGGGTTTGGGGGCACTGATTTGAGGCCGGCGGCCTTTTTTGCTGCGAAGGGTGAGACCGCGGCCTTCCATATTGCAGAGGGAGGATTGAGACAATTCCCTTCTGGTATAAGAGTGCAGTTAATGATTGTACTATCTAGAGGGTAGCAGTGGCTAGCTGGTATGTTGGGCTCAAGCGGGACAGAAACGCCGAGCGGAACAATGATAGTCCCGCGGTTCAAAATTATCGCCGGCAAAGAGAGTCGAGCTTCACTTTCTGTCAAGCCCTGCTAGTCCTCGGATTCAGTTTACGCCGTACTTCTCTACTTTATATTTGTCTTCTCTCGGATACTCCCTCAATCCCTTCAACCTCATTATGAAGACCTCCACTTTGGTGGCTGCCACCGCCGGCACCGTTTTGACCGGTCTCTTGGGTAAGGCGAAATGGTCGACGATTTGCATAAAACATCGGTGAATGTGTGGGGAATATTGCTAATGACGTATCGGATTACTATAGCTTACGCCGTGTACTTTGACCACAAGAGACAGACCGATCCGGAATTCCGGAAAGCCTTGAAGAAGAACAACCGTCGGATGGCCCGGGCTGTCAAGGAAGAAGCCGAGGCCGTCGGTGCCCAACAGCGCGAGCAGATCAAGAAGGCCGTGCAGCAGGCCAAGGATGAGGGCTTCCCGACCGACCTGGAGGAGAAGGAGGCTTACTTTATGGGTCAAGTTGCCCGCGGAGAGTCTTTGTGTGCGGAGGGTATGCTTCCATCCGATAACATACTGTTTGGGGATAAGTCGCTTACAAACGCAGGTTCCGACAACGTCGAGGCCGCTCTCTGCTTCTACAAGGCCCTCAAGGTCTACCCCCAGCCCAAGGACCTGATCTCGATATATGACAAGACCGTTCCCAAGGAGGTGTTGGAGCTTCTTGCCGAGATGGTGGCTATGGATGCTGGCTTGAAGTTGGGCACTTTCACTGGCGAGGGTGGTAGCGCTGATAGTGGTGCTGCTGTTGATGAGTAAAGAAAAAGAAACGAAAGATGACCGGTCATGCCTCCATACCCTTACCTCCTTTCATCCCGAGCTAGACATCTGGAATTGCTGTGCTTCTGGTCAACGCTGGGCCGTGGCCTCCAGATGCTTCTCTCCCATACTCCCACATCTTAAACCGCACCCCGTTATGACCTCTCCACTTCCTGTGTATCCGTTATGTTCTTCCCTGTATATTTGCATGAGTCTTGGCCATGGACATGGCGGACCATTTCGTATCTCGGCGCCTTGCTCTAGTGTTTGTTCCTGTTTCTGTTTGTTTTGGGCCCGAAAAGACTGGGGTTTCGATGAATAGCACTGGCGCCGGTTAGTGGTCCTCGTTTCTGTTATCTATCTGACAGGTGGATTAGATGTATGTGTATTTTAGAAAGGTTTTCTTCACCGAAAAAAGACTACAATTGCAATGCTAGTCATGGCCATCGTCATCGTCATCGTATTGCTTCGTTGCCCTGTCACCGTCAGACAAAGCCCTTGTTGCATTCCCGTGAGATCATCCGGCATGGCACATTCTGCATGCCAGTATGAAACACCTGCCGGGGAGACAGCAACGCTGAAGATATACAGAGTAACTGCTCACCTATAAAGGGTCCGGTTCCTGGTCCCCTGTCAGACCCTTTCAAAACGGCTGTGTTTAATTAATCTGCAGGGCTCCGGTTAGACGTGTTACAGATACAACGCGGCCCACTATATTAACCCTATAAATTTTCTGAGCGTTTCGCATTTGACGGCCCAATTCGCCTCCCCCTTCATCGATATCATTTATCTACGGGCTCGTCCTGGTTGATTGCTTTTGTTCAATCGGTCATTGACCAAAACCAAAATGCCTTCTGTATGTGCCCAACAAATCCCCATACAAAGGGACTAAGAACTAATACAATGAACACAGCCATCAAATATCCTAACCACCCTCGTCGCGCTGGCCGCGACAGCCTCCGCCGTGACGCCGGTCGTGGTGGACGGAAAAGACTTTGTGAACAGCGAGACAAAAGAGCGATTTCCCATCATTGGTGTTGAGTATGTCTGCCACATATTATTGATGCGACATTACACTAACTGCTTATAGCTACCAACCTGGAGGCGCAGGCGGCTTCAGCACGAAAAAAGACCCCTTAAGCAGCCCCAAAGACTGTCTCCGGGATGCAGCATTAATGCAGCGATTGGGCGTTAACACAATCCGTGTTTACAACCTCTCTCCGACTCTGAACCATGATGAATGCGCGTCTATCTTCAACGCTGCTGGTATCTACATGATCCTTGACGTGAACTCGCCGTTGCAGGGCGATAACCTCGATCGCACGCAGCCATGGAATAGCTATAACCCAGGATACTTTGAGCAGGTCTTTGGTATCATTGAGGGGTTTAAGGACTACCCGAATACGTTGGCGTTTTTCTCGGGGAATGAGGTTATCAATGAGCAGTCTGCGCATGCTGTGCCTGCTTACATTCGCGTGCGTCCTGACTTACCACCCCATCTCACATATGGTACAGGCTAATAGCAAACAGGCCGTGCAACGCGATATGAAAGCCTACATCTCGAAACACGCCACCCGCTCCATCCCCGTGGGATACTCCGCCGCCGACGTTCGCAACATCCTCCTCGACCAAGCAAACTATTTCCAATGCGACATCAAATCCACCGACTCGCGCGCCGACTTCTTCGGCCTAAACTCGTACTCCTGGTGCGGCGACTCGGACTACCACGCCTCCGGCTATGATGTACTCACGGAGGATTTTGTGAATTCCTCGTTCCCGGTCATTTTCTCCGAGTATGGGTGTAATGCCGTGCAGCCGCGGAAGTTCTCTGAGGTGCAGGCGTTGTATGGCGAGAAAATGAGCACGGCGTTTGCGGGCGGTTTGGTGTATGAGTATGCGCAGGAGGAGAATGACTATGGGCTTGTTGTTGTTGATAGCAACGGAGACGCGAAGCTGCGGGAGGACTTTGATGCGTTGCGGGAGCAATATAGCAAACTTGATATGCAGCGGCTCAAGGAAGCGAGTAAGGCGCATACGGACGCTGAGCCGGTGGAGTGCAGTTCGAGCCTCATTACGAGTGGTGAATTTCTGGACTCTTTTGAGTTGCCCGAGAGGCTGGAGGGTGTGCAGAAGTTGATTGATAATGGGTGTGGTGGCAAGGGTGGGAAGATTGTTGGCTTTGGAGGGAGGGATGTTACGCAGAAGATCCATGGGGCTAATGGGGAGGAGGTTTCGGGTGTGAGCTTGAATGTCAAGGAGGATGAATCTGGGAAGAAGCCCGCCACAGATGACAAGGACAGTGATGACAAGGACAACGACAATGAGGACAAGGATAACAACGAAGATAAGGATGAGAAGAACGATGAGGCCAAGCACGAGGACAAGGATGAGGACAAGGACGACAAGCACAGCAGCAATGATACCAACACGAACGACGATAATGACTCTGCAGCCGAGACCACCACCCAGACCCCCCAGACCACCCAGGCCCCTGAAGCCACCACCTCTTCTTCCGCTACACAATCCACAATTACACCAACCCCCTCCACCCACAACGCTAACACCATCTCAACCCCTAACTCGAGCTCGAGCTCGAGCACAATCATCCACGCTACCGCCAACGACGCAAGTCCCAGCGCAAGCCCGACCCCGACATACTACACAGGCGCCGGTAGCAAACCGTCGTCTTCTATGCTGTTCAGCCTTTTGAGTGGTGTTGCGGGGTTGGCTGCTTTGCTGTGATTGTTTACTTGTTTTGATATTTAGTGATTGTTTATTGTTCATTTAGGGAATGTAGTATTTCCTAATGTATTTTTAGTGAGCTGCACGGTAGTTAAAATTAAGGTGTTTGTCAGCATATATGTGCTCGGGTTAAATGATCCTTCAAACAGGATCTGCTGCTATGCATGATTTACAGTTGATCAACAGGGGCACATTCCAATGCAAGGCAAAACAAGTATAGATCAATATGCAGAACATTAAACCGAAACATAGAAATATCAACAAATAGTAACATTACAAAGCCCTTCCCTTCCCCTTGTCCTTGCTAGGCGACTGCGTGCTAAGCGCAGGGAACTCCTCCCACTCTTCCGCCGTCTTAGCATTGTTCTCCACAAGACTCAGCTGTAACGCAAACTCGAGATCATCAACCTCTTGCTGATTACTGCTTTCCGCCGCTCTCGGTTCAGGTGAATAGTCACTTTGGCTGGATTGCGAGGCTCTCGTCGTGAACGAATCTGTACCGAATGAGGATGCTTGCTCCTCGAGCAAACTCAAGCGGATAGCTTCGGCAATTTCAGGATCATCCGCATCTTCGACGCTTGTCTGGAATGGGGACGACGACGACGAAGGTTCATTCGACACTTCGTTGAGCCCAGGGGTACTAGGCGAAGTACTGATGTTCGGAGTTTCGAGACTTTCACCCCGCTTCGCGGCATCGTCGGTCATAGATTCCTGGCTCAGCAGCTGCGCGTAGGCGATAATGTCTTCCTCGCTGGCATCTGGACCCAGCAACTCAACACCAAAGCGGTTGTTAAGATGCTTCCGTTCCTTCTGGTCAGCCACCTTCTGTCGTTCCATTTCCACCTTTTCGTCCTCGATATAATCCCACACTGCTCCACGGCCGCTGTTGCTAAAGCGTTGACCTTCGCCTGAAGCATTGCCACCTCGCTGACCACGCCGCCATCGACGCTTGCTTGTCTTGTATTGATCAGCTGAAGACGAACTGTAGGACCAATAACGTAGGTGGGTTCCCAAGGCGACCATTCCTCTCAAGACCGTCGAGTCTGGGTCAAGGCAAATTGCACCCACAGCAAAGAAGTTGTTGCCAACTCCGTGCATGGAAGCCTCGGCCTGAACAAGCCGACGACGGGCACGTGAAGAGAAGCGAGAGTTCATGGTTCGAATAGGACCCGTAGACGATGCAAGAGGATCCCAAGCTTGTACAAGACCATCATTTCCTCCATGTACCAAGTAAAGCGACGTCAGGGCAACACACGAAATCTGCGGCGAATCAGTCTGGATGATCCGGAGAGGCGAGACGTTGTTGATGACCTCCGAGTTTCGCGCGGTTGGAGATCGCATATCCCACACAAACACCAGTCCCGTGGCTGTACCAACGGCAACATACCGAGCTCTTTGACCAGGAACTTCCGTCCCTGATGACGGCTGTGCCATACGCGGCAACGGAGAAGACATGGTCGAGGAAACCGAGCTGCCTGACATTGCCAAGAGCGGATCCTCCTCCTTGGTCAACAAGGCATAGGTCGATGCATCTAAGGCGTTGGCGGTAATTTGAACAGATTTGCGATCGCCAAAGTTGAAGTCCGAGATATACCATTCGGTATCCTTGACGGTGCAGATTCGTTCACTCATGCGGCTTGATCTGGAAGGCGGAATACTCTGAGGCTCAAGTTGAAGGGGCTCTTTGATAGGACCACCAAAGATAGATGTTGACATCGGAGTACTGGCAGCGCTGGCACGGGCCTCAGGAAAGGTAGAGGCAACAGCCTGCCTTGTCAAACGGCGAATTGAAGCCTTTTCACCTTCGCCCAAGCCGCATGTGATGATCATGACAGACTCGCCTGCCCCGTTCCCATCATCACCGGCAAAGTCGACCTTCAATTCACGCCTCATATCCCAACCTTCGCAAACCTTGCGGAAGTGCTTTGGTTTGAATACCAAGAACTTTTCAATTTCCTTCGTCTCGGCAGCAATTTGGTTCTTGTCCAACTTCATCGAATCCGACGATGATCGAGGACTGTAGCTACCATCGACAAGCTCCTGGTTGTATGGGTCTGGCCTAGCAACACGTCTACTCAGCTCTGCAAGCTCCCAGCGGACGGACCTGCCTGTTTTCCAGGCTAGACGGTCAAGCTCCTCTGGGGTAGCCTTAGGCGGAACATGTGGCTGATGCGGCAGATCGGTAAGGTAAAAGACCTCCCCCAGAGCATTGAGAACAACAGCCCAAATTCGGCGTCCTGCATGGCGTTGCGGCGAAATCTTGTCATCGACGGCAATCGCAATGATGGGGACACCCGGACAAAGGACCCATTTCGCGGTTGGCTGACCTCGTTCGAAGCGTGGCTCGTACAGCGGGTTAGGGCCCAAAGAATAAGCCGTCAGGATACCTGCAGACGAGCCAGACAGCATCCCAACTAGGCCCTTTGTCATTCTCAGGACTTCAGATGACTTGGCGATCCAAACCGCGGTAACAGACGACGTAATCAGGTTCTGTGCCGGGATACCCAACTGTGGCTCCGGATTGGAAACCGTAAGCCCCAAGAAGCGACCGCGCAATTCAGCTGATGAGATGAAATAGCTGCGACCCTGCGGGCAACCCTCTCCGTAGATCATGCCGTATGGCTGACTGACATCCATACGATTAGGTAGACCAACCATGTCACCAGAACCAAGACCGTATTCAGCAACGCCAGTGTAAAGATCTGCGAAGTGTCGAAATAGCTGATGGTCGGATAGTCCCCACGTTCCAACCTTGACAGACGCAGGATCACTGGCCGATGCAATTCCCTGCTCCGCAGCGCCGTGAATGAACACCGGCCGTTCCTTGGCAGTTTCCGTACCAAAGGAACAGGCGATGTGACTGACGGGAAACATCAGTTGCGAGGTATACGTGACAACAGCACTGCCATTGCGCACATTAGCCGATCGTACGGCGCCGTTCTTCTTTGATGGTTCGAACTGGGCCGGTTTGCCCTTCGAGAGAGAGCGCAATAATCGCGTTCGCAGTATGTACTCGCTCCGCCAGGACGCTAGCGCAGTCAACCGAGTGAAGTACCGTTTATCCGACACGAATTGTTCTGACCGCTGCGAGGCCGCGACCCGACTGCCAATTTCATTGTTGCTGGGCCCAGGGAAGTAGCGGGAGAAGGCGATTCTCCAAGCGTGGGGCGTCGTGACTAGAGTGTGGAAGCGACGAGATACCAATGCGATCGACGACAGCGACGGAGGGGGGAGGTGGGACAGGATGTGCGTCAAGACCTCTGGTAGGACCTAGTTAGGATCATCTGATTACCGGGGAACGAAACAAGGATGGCATACCATTGGGGACATCCTCAAAGGATACCGACGACAGATGCGACAAATCGAGCACATTGAGTTCATTGAGTTTGGCTTGCTGCGACGATAACAACAACGAAGAAGCTATATTGTCTTCATATCCGTTTAGGGGCGAATCTGCCCCGTTCCTCGGCGGGACGACTTCTGGACGGTCTCCAGGCCCCCCTTGATGGGGAGAATCAGAGACCGGGTCATCGCCACAGAAGTCATGTCCATGCTGGGTAGGATCGGAGGGTTCTGCACGAGGCGATTCCGAGAAGTGTGTATGTTGAGATACTGCAGGAGACTCGGGTTGCATAAAAAGGTTTCGCGGGAGAACGGAGGCAAAGGGGGCGACTGCACCAGGACGAGAACTGGAACAGTCGGGTAGAAGCAAGAGAGCTAGGATGAGCGCGGTAAGAGGTATAGAGAGACAAGATGATGCCGTTGAGCATGCGCAAGCTGGGTGTTATGCTAAGAATGGGTGAAGAGTGAATGTGAAGGTGAAAGGTTGAGTCACTTTCGACGGAGGGGAAGACTTCGCTCCGCACACGTGACGCGATTCACACCATTCACTGGTAGGTTTATACTACCTACCTATTTCTGCAATAGAAACCCTTCTTCTATCTCTCAGCTGGCATCTACTTGGTGATGAGAACATGGTGGTCAAAGAACGCCATCGAGAAATGTCTTGGCTGAAAGACCTAATCAGCATGAGTATGTCTTGATTCTAGACGATCTTTTGAGCCAACGACATGACGGAGGGGCCTATCGAGTCCTGCTACAAGGACGAATCCTACCGATCAGTACAATGGATATTCCGACTCTTGTGTTCTCGGTGATGGTTAGAACCGGAATGGCTTTCGATCGAAGACCCCAAATGGGGTATAGAAATCTTGCGTGGAGGCCCGCCGGGGAGAATATTGCAGGAGGTTTGTGAATAACGGCAAATATACGCTTTCAGTCCCTGGAGATACCTGAGATTGACCAATTCTCGATTGTAGAATGCCACGTTCACTTCAACAGAGTAAGTTTTAGCCCTTCAGCTTACAGATTACATGGCTGATCCTAGCATAGAAGTCCCCGGAACAAAGCTCTGGAAGGTTATTTTTGGATCCGGCTTTACTTCCATGGAGATCCTGAATTGACAACAAGTTGCCGTACATCTCATGGTAGTTCCCGTAGGAACTACCCATGGAGGTACCCTAACGTCGAAACCAGGAAAACAGGTATATCAAAGCAAATGAGCACAAATATTGCAACTCGTCACTACTTCATCTACTAGACTGCTGTCATCTATGTTTTTCGTCTAGGGATAACAGTGCTAGAGAATAGTAATAACCTACTATGATCAAGAAAAAGGACGTCGTAGCTTTCCATATCATTTTCAAACCATTGAATGCCATAACTATTTTCGAGTATATCAGTTGGGTATGTTCTTGGTATATAATTGCCTTAGGTTTCGGTAGAAGATTCGCGTTCCGCGACACGTGACGCCAGACGCGACGGAGGCGACATCACCATATCGTTTCTGCGATAACAGTCAACAAGCACCATTGGTGACTGAACGGAGGAGGAAGAAAGAGACGCTGTGTAGTGCATTTCTGAATGAATGTTATTGCATTTTTGTTTTTTAACCGTTTGCCGCTCCAGGCAGCACTCCGGCATAGTATTTAAGCTCTGGTTGTCCCCGATTTCCGCAACGCGACAAGGCCACATTAGATCGTCAAAATGCCCGGAGTAAATGGTAAGGATCTCACTGCTTTGCAGGCATGTAAGACTAAGCTGACGAACAGACCCGGAAACCATTCGTATCCTTGTCGCTACCGACAATCATGTCGGCTACAATGAGCGAGACCCCATCCGGGGAGACGACAGCTGGAAGAGTTTCCACGAGGTGATGTGCTTGGCCAAGGAGCAAGATGTCGATATGGTACTGCTGGCAGGGGATCTGTTTCACGAGAACAAGCCGTCCCGGAAGTCCATGTATCAGGTGATGAGGTCAATTCGGATGAACTGCCTGGGAGACAAGCCGTGCGAGCTGGAAATGATCAGTGATGCCAGTGAGAACTTCCAGGGCGCTTTTAACCATCCGAATTATGAGGATGAGGATATCAACGTGGCGATCCCGATCTTCTCCATTCACGGGAACCACGATGATCCCTCTGGAGAGGGTCATCTCGCGGCTTTGGACCTGCTCCAAGTATCGGGCTTGATAAACTACTACGGTCGAATTCCAGAGTCAGATAACATCCACATCAAACCAGTTTTGTTACAGAAAGGACGGACCAAGCTGGCTTTGTACGGTATGAGCAATGTCCGGGACGAACGCCTCTTCCGGACGTTTCGAGACAACAAAGTCAAGTTCTATCAGCCAGGAATTCAGAGAGATGATTGGTTCAATTTGATGTCCGTTCATCAGAACCATCACGCCTACACCGAGACGAACTATCTCCCCGAGAATTTTCTGCCCGAATTCATGGACCTTGTTATCTGGGGACATGAGCACGAGTGCCTGATTGATCCGCGACTGAACCCTGAAATGAACTTCCACGTTATGCAACCAGGATCGTCCGTTGCGACGTCCCTCTGTCCTGGCGAATCAGTGGCCAAGCATGTGTCGATTCTCAGCATCACAGGCCGCGAGTTCAAGAGCGAACCAGTCCGCTTAAAGTCCGTCCGCCCGTTTGCGATGCGAGAAATCGTTTTATCAAAGGAGAAGGGGGCGCAGAAATTGGCCCGCAAGGAAAACAACCGTACCGAAGTCACACGATTCCTCATGACGCTCGTGGAGGAACTCATCGAAGAAGCCAATGCAGACTGGGCCGACACACATGGCGAGGCAGCGGAGGACGAAGAGCAGGATATCCCGTTACCTCTCGTTAGGCTGCGTGTCGAGGTTTCAACACCAGAAGGAGGCAGTTATGACTGCGAAAACCCGCAGCGATTTTCAAACCGTTTTGTCGGCAAGGTCGCCAACGTTAACGATGTCGTACAATTTCACCGCAAGAAGAAGAACATGACTCGTAAGCAGGGCGATGTCGAGGTCGACGAATCGGCCGTTTCCCAGTTGGCGACGCTCGACACGGTGAAAGTGGAGCAGCTAGTACGGGACTTCCTCGCCCAGCAGTCGCTCAGTATCCTACCACAGAACTCTTTCGGAGACGCTGTCTCGCAGTTCATCGACAAAGACGACAAACACGCAATGGAAATGTTCGTGAACGAATCACTGGACAATCAAATGAAGCACCTGCTATCCCTTGACCGCGAAGAGGAGGAGCAGGATGACGAGGAAAAACTCCAAAACTCCCTGCAAACCGCCATGGAAAAGTACCGCGCACAGATGGAGGATATGTTCTCGCGCGGCATCAAGAAGCGAACCCGGGGCAAGAAACGTTTCAAGCCCAAGCCTGATGGTTGGGACACGGAATTCGATGGTGTTTGGGAGGATCAGCCAGGTGCATTGATTCACTCTGATAATGAAGGTGGTGATCCGAACGAGGATGTGGCTGCTGAAGATGGTACCACGCCTGCACCGGCAAGAGGTGGTACGCGTGGTCGCGGCCGTGGTCGGGGGGGTAGGGCAGCTGCCAAGCCGGCGACCGGCTCTCGTACAACCGCAAAGACCACGACCGCAAAGAAAGCCGCCCCAGCCACCAAGGGCCATCGACACAAGGCCGTTTCTGACGATGAAGATGAGGAAGAAGATGTCGTCATGCTGGACGATGACGATGAAGACGACCAAGGCTTGTCAGACATCGACGAGGACGACGATTCACAGGCCTTATTTGTCAAACAACCGGCCCCAAAGAGCAAAACAACGAGCCGCAAACCAGCCGCTCCTGCCACGACAACCAGCCAGCGTCGATCCGGACGGAGTGCAGCCTCTCCTGCGGCACCGTCTTCTACACGGGGTTCTCGGAGTACCGCGCGCGGTAAACAGGCGACGCAGTCGACGTTGAATTTCTCAGGTTCGCAGGCGAGATCGAGTAGGACGACGCGGGCTACGAGCCTGCTTAGTGAGGATATCGACGATGACGACGATGATGATGCTTTCGAGGCGATGCCGAGTTCAAGTCGGCGGAGGTAGTTTGCGCTACCGCATTTGCATGTACGGCGTTATGGAAGAGCTAGCTATTGCTATGAAAAGGCGTTATAATGCAATGGTGAATGATATTCTCAGTACGCATAGACGATTTAATTGCTGCATTCAATGTTAATCCAAGACAAATAGTCCGAGAGCCTGTCCATAGGCTTCGCAACAGCTTGACCATGGAATCATTGACGTATCCGAGAGCAACCCACTTAATCCTGGGATAGGCTGGGCAATGGCACCTAGGTTTCGATGGTGATTTTACAACCACGTGAGGAGAAATCACTCTGGGCCACGGAGCTGGAAGGTGTAGAGGTGGAGTATCATGTCCCGGGGGAAGCGGATGTCTATGGGGATGAGATCAGGTGGAAATGGGCGCGAAATCCACGGATGCGGTTCAATTGTTTGTTAGTCTTGATGATGGGGATTTCATCCTTCGTAGTGGTATACGCGGCCGGGGAGAGGGCATGGTCCTGATGGGGTTTATAATGCAGATATTGTGCGGAAGATGACCAATGGGAAGACTACCGAGTATCTATGGATAGAGCTTGATGACCAGTTAGTTAGATAGCCTAATTAATGAAGATCGTGGTGGCCACCGCTTTAACCCCTGATCTCTATGTTCATTACTAGTTAATCCATCTCATGCATTCATTATGCACTTATTCGGTCAGTTATGCTTCTCGGTACTCGGCGCTTGTTTACAGATGCGGGGAATGTTTGGGTAGCCGATCATCTATAAAACATAGACACTTCATTCTCCTTTTCGATCATCAATTTGCTTTCAATTGAGTGTACAAAGTAATCATGATCTTCGAACCCGCCGAGCGATTGCACATTCCCACCAAGGACCTCCTGTCGTACATTTTCGACGATCCCAAGTACGACCAGGACGAGCCGGTACGCGCCCGCCATTGTCAATCGGACGCGACGAGACTGACTCGAGCAGATTTATAGAGACCCGGGAAACCCATCACGGTCTATCTCCTGTAACCAAGCCCGAAAGCTGATCCGCCAGCTTGTTGCGGGACTGCAGGCATGGGGTGTTCGGAAGGGTGATTGTGTGGCGATTCACGCGTTCAATGATGTAGGACCACCATTTTTTCTGTGTCGAGGGCGAAGCTAAGAGGGCAGATTTATTATAGTATTCTGGTCTTGGCGATTGTAGGTGCTGGTGGGATTTTCACCGGCACGAATCCATCGTACACGCCGATGGAGCTGGAGCACCACATTAGAGCATCGGAGGCTAAGTTTCTGATTTCGGAGCCGGAGATTGTGGGCTCACTCAAGGCTGCTGCAAGTGGCGTTGGTATTCCGGAAAACAACATCCTCATTTTCAATGCTCTCGGGCAAGATGTCCCGTCTGGGTTCCGATCGTGGGAGGAGCTTTTCAAAGCCGGTGAGACGGACTGGGTGCGTTTTGACGATTTGAAAACTACAAGAGAGACCACGGCAGCAAGACTGTTTAGCAGTGGTACGACCGGTCTGCCCAAGGCTGTCACTATCACTCACTACAACATGGCGGCACAGCATGAACTGGTTTTTGAGACGCATCCCCGACCATACCGAGTGAGTATCCATCCCCTATCGGATTATACTGGTCTGACCCAAATAGGTCTGCAAAGTAGTACCCACGCCAGTCTTCCACGCAGCAGCAGCTCCATCAACCCATTTCTCGACCCTGAAAGCCGGCTACATCACCTACGTCATGCGCCGCTTCAATCTCAACGACTTCCTGGAAGCCGTTGAAAAATACGGTGTCACTGACCTAACCATGGTGCCTCCGATCGCGGTCGGAATCCTCATGAACCCGCATGCCAGAAAGCGGCCATTCTTGAAGAAGGTCAAGATGGCAGGCTGCGGTGCTGCGCCTCTGGGCCGCGACGTCCAGGCTAGGTTCCACGAGCTCATGGATAAAGAGGCCCCCTTGACGCAGGTATGGGGCATGACTGAAACAAGCTGCATTGCTATGTCCTTTCGGTATCCCGAGCACGACGAAACTGGGTCTGTGGGACGGTTGATTCCTAATCTCGAGGCGAAACTTATCGATGTTGAGGGGAATAATATCTCAGCCTACAACACTCGTGGAGAGCTCTGCGTCCGCGGCCCAACTGTCACGCCCGGCTACTTTAATAATCCCGAAGCTAACGCGTCTTCTTTCGATGCGGACGGTTGGTACAAGACAGGCGACATTGCGTACTGCGACGAGGCAACCGGTAAATGGTACATCGTGGACCGACAGAAGGAACTTATCAAAGTTCGCGGGTTCCAGGTTGCCCCCGCGGAACTCGAATCTGTACTGTTATTGCACCCACAGATCGTTGACGCGGCTGTTATTGGAATTAGCTTCGCAGGATCTGATGAGGAGTGGCCGCGCGCGTATATCGTCAAGAGGCCTACGGAAGAAGGACAGAAGTTGACGGCGGAGGATGTGCAGACATATATGAAGGAGCGGCTGGCGAAGTACAAGTCGTTGACGGGTGGCGTTGTCTTTGTGGAGGGGGTGCCGAAGAATGCTAGTGGAAAGATTTTGAAGAAGGTGTTGAAGGAGATTAGCAAGAGGGAGATTGAGGTTGGCATGATTAAGCCGAGGTTGTAGACATGACGTTTTGCAAATGCAGATATCGATACAATGAAGAAATGGTGTCTACAGACACTTAATATGCAGTCCAATCCACATAGTACTAAACAAGAATACGTACAATTCCCCTATGAATGCACATATACCAACACATGATCAAGGAAGAGGAGGAACCATCTTCAGATCTACAAACTCCTGAAACACCTTGAACACAGACTCGGTACTGTCGACAAACCCAAAGAACCCGAGTTTTTTCGCTTTCGCCGTGCTAGTACAATCAGCATCACCCTTGACATTAACCATCACGTCCACTCACCTGAAAAGAATAGGATACGACATGCCCAACGCAGCATCAGCAAACCCGAAAATCCTATCAACATCTCCCAGCGACCCATCCCGCAGCTGGTACTTCTCTGCAAGTTCCTTCCACGCCTGCTGGACCTCAGGCTTCTTAGCCCATTCCGTCAAGGTAAATCGATATCGCAGCTTGGCTGGGGGTCCGAATCCGCGAGGTGGAGGGTTGTATGGTGTTTCTTGTTCCTTGAATGCAGATGGGTCGGTAGATGGTCCTGTCCATGGCACCCTGAATCTTTCCGCTAGTCGCGGCCAGAATTTGCCCCAGGTAAACGGACAGTCATCGGAGGCGTTGAAGCTCTCGTTCTTGGCGTGGCGCTCCAGGACGGCCCATTCTGCGAGGTAGCAGTTCAGGTGTGCCGTGGATAGCGTTTGGTTTGCTTCCCAAGCGTTAAGATCTGAATGAAACTCCAATGGCTTCCCAAGGTGCTTCTGGATCGTGGCATAGATGACAAGTGGAAGACAGAGGTTCATCGCTGCATCAGGAACAGCGCCAGGGACCCAGGAGGGACGGGTGATGTTCCATCCAATACCGTGCTTCTGAGCAAAGTCGCGCAGGCAGTCTTCCTGGGGGTAATAGAAGTTCGGCTCCAGATGGACCCGTTCATCAGATTCTTCCTGCGGTACTGCGGAGGGGCCTAGATGCACGCCGTAATACTTTGCCCCTAGTTGGAGCAGGACCCTCCGAGGGACAGACTTGGAAATTGCCAGTCCCTCAAGGAAGTTGCTCAATAGGGCGGCTTGCATCGTTAGCAGGAGAAAATCACTTCCGGACAGGATACGTACTGTTAACCTTAACAAGCTCATCAACAGCACTCCAAATACTCTCGCCCTCTTTCGGCTTCGGCTGGATGTAAGCGAAGAAGAACGTGTAGTCAGCCTTCATTCCTCGCTTGTGTATCTGCTCTGCAATCTTCTCCGGGGACTGGAGTAAGTCCATTGAGACATGTTCAACCTGACTTGGCCATTCACCATGAGGTGGTCTACGACAGACGGCGTAGATTTTCTTCCATCGTTTGGGCGATTCACATAGGACGCGAAGCTATTTGTTCGTCAGAGTTACAGTAAAGGTTGGGTTAGAGGTGTGACCTACCATATGCGTGCCGGAAATGCCATTGGCACCGGTGACAATGGCCGTGAGGCCTTCCACATCGTCCGGAAAGACAGGCAAGCCGTGGAAAATGCCCTTTGAGCAAATAGTTTGGACTGTCATCTTTCCTATTTGTAGAGTCTTGGATAATAAAATGGGCATTGGAGTTTGTCAACTTTTGAGTGCCGGTGTAATGACTGATGTCATACGTGGGGATGTGCCGAAGATTACCGAAAGAGGAAATCCTGATTGTCTTTCTGATATACATTTCCAGGCTACCAGAGTGTCTGGCAAATATCACAATATATTTTCACTTGGTGATACCGCTGAGGGATATTCGAAGATTATATGCCTTTCGATGATGACTTCCCGCTTCATATGATACGAACGCTGCCTTTCATTTCTCCGTCCGGAGCTTGCCAGGAACACGGCATAGAGTATAGACATGCATTGCATGAATAAGTTTTTCAATCCATGTACAGGCTGCTCTAAGAAGCACATGTCACTCAGCAGACTATAGCCAGCACCGATTTGAGAAATGAAAAGAGTAGAGAGCGTTATTCCTTCGGCTGGCAGCTGGCAGGCTGGTTTGGACTTGCGGTACAAACTACAGAGTGTAATCTCCAACGCCTCATGGCATGAACAAGCAGAGCCTCATAGTTACGAATGGCGTGCATATTGCTTGTTCAGACACTCCGAAATTCTACCGACAATCAAGGTTCGGGGTCTGTATAAAGACGGGCTTTGCTGTGATATACCCAAATCCCGTGATAGCTAGATCCACGTCCCGAAGATGTCCCGACGAGGAAGAAAATCGTCATCGAACTCTTTATCTTGATGGGCTGATCGGGAAGGTACTCGGGAAGGAAATCGGGAATTATCCATCATGACACAGAGCACGGAGTCGGGTTCATCCGGAGTTGGCTCAAAGATATAAAGAGGGCTTCATTGCCGTACTTGGACAGACTTTATATGCACCTCCGAATCATCGACCTATAATGCGGTTCTCAATAATCCTGGGCTTGGTTGGCAGTTGTGCTGCGAGTCTGCTGCAGCATGCCAACCAGACAGCCAACTATGATAACCTGACCGTTGCAGTTGTGCGCGCACCGCCGGCAAACTGGCCCCTCCCGCTCATGAGCAATAACAACTGGACAGGAGTTGAATTTGACTTGAATGCGACGGTTTCCAAGGGCGTCAACCTTATCAAACAAGCAGCAGGAAATGGTGCTAATCTTGTTGTTTTTCCTGAGTTATGGTTTCCGGGGTATGTCCGCCAAAAGCAATGCCATATTCAGAGATCAAGCACAATGCTAACGTCTGCAGCTATCCCAAAGGAATGTCAGATAATGTTTCCATCGCAAGTCATATCAAGAACTACGTCCAAAACTCTCTTACTCTGAATAGCCCTCAATGGAATCGACTGGTATCTGCCGCGAAGACCAATGGAGTCTACGTCGTCCCCGGATTCTCCCATCGAGAAGGAAACTATATCTACATGGCACAGGCATTGATTTCCCCAGAGGGAGAAAATATTTATCTCCGCCACAAGTTGAGGCCATCCGGCGGTGAAAGGACTATCTGGTCTGATGGTACCCTGAACGAATTGAAAGTGATTGCTACTCCGTACGGTCGATGGGGTATTCTTGAATGCTGGGAACACTTTCACCCAGCAATGACCTTTAATGTTCAGGCGCAGACAGAGACGCTCCATATTGCATCTTTTCCTTGTACGTCAATGCCCTTCGCAGCCTATTACATCAATGACAAACTAAACTGCCAGATACACCCGACTATGGTGACTCGGACGCAGCAGACTGGCAATCCGCTGAGGTGAATGTTGCAGCAGCACGAACATACGCTGTAAACGCACAAGCTCCATTGGCATATGCATCCGTTGGAAATGTGCGATTCATTACCAGCGGAGGACTCGATATCGATGTGGTGGACGCATCCGAGTCATTCGATAAGACTCCGTTGGCTTACACCTCTTTCAACACGACAGGTCTGGCCGATACCGTGCCGTACACCACAAATGGGGAGCAGTCGTGGGGGATCTTGCAGCAGATTAACGCCGGCTTTCCGTCGTACATCCCGAAGGTTATGGGAGATTTTGTGGCTCGGAATATGGTGAAGATTTCTGACCGTTTGCAAGCCAAATGACTCAGATCTCCTTGAAAATTACACAATGTATTATTATTTTGTAGAACTAAGCTTTCCTGCATAGGAACTGAGACATCTGGAAGGCACTAGTTATAAACATTTGCATTCGCATCCAAGTGGCCCGAAAAGAGCACCTCTCGTCCTGGGTCATCGGGTAACCGAATCCCATAAAACCTCCAGAAGACATCCCGAATCACATCAAAGCAAGCCCCAAACCGCATCAACTTCATATCCTTAAAATTAAACATAGTCGACGACGGCCGCGGCGAGGAATATCGCTGTCGACCGTAGTTTATGATAATATCCGCTGCCTCACGAATCTCAGGCTCGATATCTTCAACTGTACTCTTAGTCCCCTTGCCAGTTAAATTGGCCGATGACCCCATAAGTGGCAGACCGGCCTCAGTTGCCAACCGCGATAGTTCCTCCTGGAATTTGCCCCCGTTCACGAGCATTGACAATGTTCCATCAACAGAGCTACGTTGCAGTATCTCCTTTCCCAGTTTTTGGATAATCGGATGGTCCTCGCGGAACGGCGCAATGACGCCTAGTGGCAGGTCGAGGTCGACCGTGAGGAGATGAACCATTCCAGTCTCGCGTGGAGGGAGGACGTGTAGTTTGCGATGGAGCGCGTAGCTACCTATCATGGCGTGTTTCTTGTGTGGCTGGCGCTGTTTGGTCACGAAGACGCGCTGTAGAGCGTCCGGGTCGGTGGCAACGATTCCATAGCCGACGCTGGCGGGGATTATGGCGATGCCGCCTGATTGAAGGATATTGAAGACGCGTAGGGCGTCATTTTGGATATCGATTGTTTGCTCTGGAGCAGACATGGCTGTCACTTGAAGTTCTCTATTTTCTAGAGCCTTTGTCTGGTTTAAATAGACCGATCTCAAAAATAACCCCGAGATTTCAATCTTATCAAAGACCCGATATAACCCTCCGCATGTTACACCAAACGCTCTATAAGCCACATTGTTAGGACCAAGTTATTCAACCTTAACGCGTCCAACATTCGACAAAAATTCCCCCGTCGTCGCGTTCAGCGAATGATCCCTCTGCTCCTCCGTAATCTCACTCAAAGCCCTGTACCACACAGCTGACCAATACCCTTCCGCGCGCACAGTATACTCCCGTCCAGCTTGTATATCCTTTTCATCCACCCGCAGCTCAAGAGTCCTCTTCACCGTCGTGTCGGAAGGAATCTCAATATACTCATTTAGAAGAGGGGGCCTTATACGGCTAGCGGAGATTGTGGAGGTAGGTACTTCTTCGTGTGTTTGCGCGTCGTGGAGTTTGAGGACCCCTAGATGGCCAGCGTCAGGATCGAGCGGAGTGTTCCGGTCGAGGATTGTCACGGGAGTACTGGCGGCGTTGTGAATGGAGATTTCAATGGGGAGGAGTGAAGTAAGACGGACGGTTTGATGTGGCGCTAGGAGAACTTGTAGGGCGATGGTGGTTTCCATGAAGTTAACCATCGTGGCTTGGATATCGGTAGGAAGCCGAGTTGATAGACGTCGAGAGGTTGACGGTGAGATGAAGAGCGGAGAGTGTAATGAAGTAAAACATGGAGTTGCCAAATAACAAGGAAAGAGTTCAGGGGAATAAAAAAAATATCAAAAACAAAGAGACCACGGGAGAACAAAGAAATTGAGATGACAGCTCATGTTGCACCGCATTGAGCCCTAATTACAGGGGTTTACTGCAGCCCTAATGTATTCACTACTCAAGTCTACTCCAGGCACTGTCTGTAGAGACCATTCACTACCATATGCACTACCAAGCCATTTTGTTTGCCATGAGTTTTTCTACTAAGCTGACTCAGATGGGTTCCGACCAACAGAAATACCCATGGCCAGGACTACTGTCTATTACCCGCTTCAACTGATCTTCAATCTCATTCTCTTGACTTAATTCTTAATTGGAACTACCAGTCTTCAAGTTGCGATTCGTCCCTACTCTCACAGGGGCCTTATGCCTAGCCCACACTGTGCTGGCTTTCCTCAACGTCACCCTAATGTAGACTGGCAAAGCTGTCGTCAAGGATGAAGGCCCGGATGATGTCAATTACGTTTATTACAGCTTCTTCGATGATACTGCCCCGGTCAGGGAAGTGTCAATCTAGCGCAATTGTGAGTATACCCGACTGGAATGAGTATAAAAATGATGGCTAACAATCGCAGGAACCCAAGTCAACTTCGAAGGAATTCACCAGACCTACCGCTTGACCAAGCTCACCTCTGCCGCCGCAACCTCCCTCACTATCTGTGCTAGTTACGAAGACGAATTTGATATTGCCTCGAACAGCAATTTCTCCTAAGGCAGTCACCATCTACGCCGAAGGATACGTTAACCTCGTGACCAATGGCTCAGTCTCGGGCACCATGCCCTACTCGTCCAACGAACTTACAGTTGGCATAGACGCAAGCGAAGCAAAGACCGTTTCCAAAGCCCGTCCCATAGGCAAAGCTCGAGCGATCACTACCTGCTCTCCTGATCGCCAGGCCATCGTAGACACAGCTCTAGCCGACACCGTAGAACTTGCCAACGCAGCCGCCGATGCGGCCACCTCCGGAGACGTAGCTTAGTTAACTACTACTTCAAACTACCGCCCGCGAAGCCCGCGAAAGAGTCTCCGCTCGTCTGCGCAGCGTAGCCAAAGAAGCCGGCTCCACCAGCGACAACATTAAACACTACTGCACCGACCCGTGGTCGGAACAGGGAAGCTGCAGAAAGAACTTTCTTGCCCACGAGTGGGCTCAGTACAGCATGATTGTGAATTGTGAGATTTACTATACCTTGTTGATGACGGGGTTGCCCACGGTCCGCGAGGGACAGGATGAGGCGACGACGGCGGTTCATGAGTTTACGCATTTGCCTGCGGTTTACGATCCGCCTACGAGTGACTTTAGATATGGAAACGAGGTATTGCTGTTGGAGAGTGAGCAGGCGCTGGAGAATGCTGATAATTATGCTACGTATGCGACTGGTGAATTATCCTTCCCTTGGCTGACTTTTTTTGATGCGATGCTAACTGTTATAGCTGTCTACCTCAACTGCAGCTTGGCTGCATAATTAAGCTTGGATATTAGCTTGGCTACATAATGAATAATACGTATATGACCGGAGGAAACTTTTGGTTATTAATTTGGAAATGATGAATGCATACAGGAATAGGATACATTAGGAAAACAGACATTCAACATCAAGCAAACTACGCCTTGCGGCATAATCCCTCCACACATTTATTATTATAGCAACACTCCTCATCCGCCTCACACAACTCCAAATCCTCCCTACAGTTTGGCCACTTAGGGTCTGTAGGTCGACATTTCGTAGCCGCGCAGTAAGTCGAGCAACATATGTCTCCGGATCCGCCGGATTCGCAATCCTCTGCTATAATTAGACCTATCATCGCAGAAAGCGGGAGCAGTCAGACGTACGGTAGACTTTAAGACATGTCGGGGTAGGCACGCAGGTGGCAAATGTGGTTGTTGTAGGTGTGGTGCGGGTATAGGTTGAGCAGGTCTCAGTTAGGACACAGGCATCGGCCGTGCCACATTGGGCGTCTGCTGGGTTAGTACTATTGATTGAAATGGCAGGATGAGTGGCATACGGGTCACGGCAAAGTGCAGGATGGCTGCTACGAGGGTCTTTGTGAGATGCATTTTGAATGTTCACTGAGTGCAATTGATTCGTGATTTGGATAGCAAATGATGAAATTGGCGAGGCTATATATAATGCCTGTCTCTACGAAAATGATGTAGAATCAGTTGTCTCGTGTTCATGACATCAACCCTACGGAATGAATACGAACCTTTACGTGGGACATGTGATATACTTTCTTTTTATATTTATTTTAGGCATCGCCAAGGACCGTAGACTTGGTTACTGGAGATACGAGTGGGCGTTCCAATTGTACGCTGTATATTCAAACTATTGCTTTGGTTGCAGTACATCATACCTGTCCGGTATCCTCCACTTGCTGCAACATCCCCTCCAGCTTACTGTCCACCTGGACATTGTGCGCATGTTGACGTGGTTCGACCGTCCGACCTCCTTTCGAACTGAACACGCCACCTGTGAAGCCCCCTTTGACAAAAAGGAGCGGGATGTCCTCGAGTTCAAGACCCTTTGTTTCGGGATAGAAAAAGTAGACCATCGGAATGAAGGCGGCGTTGAGGACGGCAAAGATAACAAACGTCCGCCATCCGATGTTAGCTAATATGATAAGTGGTTAGCTTGACTCTCGTTCTGTGGGCGGGGGGCTTACCGAAAGCAATCGGGGTGATCTTAACCACGGCAAATACCGCCATCCAGTTCCAGCCAGAAGCGATGGCCTGCATTCTGGTTCGCACTCGTGTGGTGTTAATTTCAGCTGGGTAGAACCATGGCACCGGGAGCCATCCCGCACCATAGAACACCTGGAAAAGGAAAATGAAGGCCGTGGCTCCATAGGCAGCGTTCATTTGTCCCAGGGAGAGGAGAATCGATACCATCACAAAACATAGACAAAGGCCAGCTGAACAGATGATCAAAAGTGTGCGTCGACCGAAGCGATCCATCAAAAACACCGGGATGAATGATCCCACGAGATATGTGCACTGGACGCATCCTCCCAATATCATCGAAAGATTCCTGCTGAGCCCCATAGTAGTCTGGAACATGACGGGCGCATAGTAGTTAATCATGTTGGAGCCGGTGAACTGCTGTCCCAGCTCAATGGTAATAGTGATGAGCATGCGACGCAGATTTTGTGTTTCGCCCCACGAAAACAGTTCCAGAAAACGGAACGGTCCGTCTTTTCTTTCCTCTTCCAGTGCAGTCTGGATGTCCAGGACTGACTTGCTGATTTCTGCATCGTCCAAGGGCTTACCTTCAATCGCGGCGAGGACTTGACGTGCTTCTTCGTGACGGTCGTGCTGGACCAGCCAGCGGGGTGTTTCTGGAAGTCCAATGATCTGGAGGATGAGGCAGACGGCGAACACGGCTTGGAAGGCAAGGGGGAAGCGCCATTGGAAGGAGGATTCGGTGAAACTGGTGCCGTAGTCCATCCTATATCGGTCAGCGTTGCTCTTCGGGTTGTAACATGGTACCTACCAATATGCAATAACCACGCCCAGGATGGTAACCGTGCCCTGCAGGGTCAACACTGCACCTCGAGTCGATGCCGGTGCACATTCACTCTGATATACTGGCGCTGTGGACGAGTTCATCCCGTTTCCAATACCTGTGATGATCCGTCCAACAATTAACTGCGCAACGGTAAACGACGAAGCCAGAATAGCCGTCCCGATAATCATAATGCTTCCACCGGTCATCAACATCGCTCGTCGACCGTATCGTTCACCGATGAAATAACAGGCAATCGACCCGACCACGCAGCCAATATCGTACAGCGCCGTGATATTTCCCTGCATCGCAGTATCCGGATTGTTAAAATCGCGTCCAAACCGGTTGTCCGCTCCTACAATCCCAGACATTACCCCTTTTCCGTCAGTATCACAGCCTCGCCAAGAAAGAGCAAACATACCCTGATCGAATCCGAGCAAAAGAAAGGCCTGACAGGACGCCATGGTCATGGCGACCTGCAAGGCCTTGCCGCGAAAGCTGTGCTTCCAGAGATGCATATTGATACACTGATGCTCTGGTATCTACCTACCGGAAGACCTGACGAGTTGAATATATTAAAGCTTAGCATGAGTCTAGCCGTCCTGGCCTTGCCCTCGCGGCCTATTTCCCCGAGGTTCATAGTAGATACTACAGCAATCTATCCTATTGGTTTTCGGGTCCTATTGCCCCGGACATTTCGCAGACTGGAAAACCCGAGACAGTCGGGCCCTTCCGAAATGCGGGGGTTTCCCGGGGCCCCGCATATTTTATTTGGCCTGATATTGACATATATTATGAATAGATAGTAATCTTATACGAGGATAAATGCTAATATAAGCACGGTCATGATGTGAAGACTGGTCCTTACAGGTGCTGGTCAAGAGACCGCCTGGAAATGTCATCCCCAACGGAAGTATGCACCATGATGCTGAACTCGCTGAACAGCAGCATTCATGGCGACGTTAGATATAGAATGCTAGCAGCATCACCAGGGCATTTCTGGTGTGCCTGGATAAGCAGAATTCTAGGGCTCAATATCGCGATCTAAGAAAGTCGCCGGTCCGCGCTTGATGTGCGCCCCTATGGACCAGCTTGTGATCAACCACGACAGTGAAGGAATCCTCTGTAGTTTGGGCCACGAGTCAGTCTTGTCTACCAAGATGACCCATATACCGCTCGGAGAAACTGGCAGTCTGCTGAAATGAGAGAAATCCTCTTTCCAGTAATCTGCCTGCATTTTAGCCCCATGGTGATATCACCGTCCACGATCAGCACAGATGCAAGTATGTTCCTCCGGTACCTCTACAAATATACATATACATTCAAGTGTCCCAGTTGGAAGAAACCAGTGCGCCATTCAGACACAGCGTCGTCAGCATCATGGTCTTGGTACTCCTGCACAATGTCACATCAACGTTTCATTCGGGACAAGAGGTTCCTCGGATCCATGATTACATGATCTGCCAGTTATGGTACGCATCTTTTGAGCTCACCTCTGTTCTCTTAGCTATTGCTCTCTCGAATTTCGCCGCGGAAGTACCAGGCTCCCATATACGTGCTCCTGGGCAGGGACCATATCAAAATCACTGAAGAACACAGCTGTCTGGCCGACTGCTTGCTTCCTACCACCTTGCACCATGAGCTTTCAGAAACTTCCCAGTGAAATCCTGCTTTACATCAGCGACTTCCTGGAATATTCTTGGAATATCAGCGCTCTCTCTCAGACGAACCGCTACCTATATGCTACATTGAATCGCTATCTCTATCAGCACAATGTTCGTCATTTTGATAGCTCACTGTTTGCGTGGGCAATGAAAAATGGATCTGAGATTGTTGTGCGAAAGATGCTAGATGCAGGCGCTTCCCCGACAAAAGAATGCTCACGGAATCGTCTTGATTTGATCAGTGCAGCAGTAGCAGCAGGGCATACTGGAATTGTTCGATTATTCCTGGAAAGAGAACTACTACCTGTTGACCGTCGCGGCGCCTTGCTGACAACGGCGGCAGTCTTCGGCTGCGATTCCGTTGTATACCTCCTTCGCGACAACGGGGTGCACATAACCTCTAACATGGCTAAAGATCTGCTCTGTATAAGGCAGGGGTGTGGCTTCGATGTAACGAAGATACCTGTGGATAAGATATGGAGCGATTGTCCAAGAGATGAAGTAATCGACATATTATCGTGGGAATTAGAACAAAGAGTGGTGTCTGGACCTGACTGCTTGGAAACAATTCAACACCTGCTCCAGCTTGGGATCAGCCCGAACCCAACCCATCCCGACAGGCTTGGTCCGCTTTCCCTTGCCGCTGAGCGTGGTTACCTTGACGTTGTGCGTTGTTTGGTTGAAAGCGGAGCGGAAACAGCACCAGCGCTGAAAACGTCGCCGAGTAATCCAATCTACAAAGCCATCAATGAAAAACACATCAATGTCGCGAGGTTCTTATTTGAACGCTCAGGACTCGAAGCGCTCTCACCAAACTCCGAAGATGAGGCGGCCCTGCTTCTATGGGTTGCTGCCGCTCTGGGCTCCGAATTTCATTTCTGGCGGGCTCTGCAATTCGAATTGCCGAGGGAGGAACGCTTGTTACATCTTGTATACCATAATTACGACTTACCCGCGCCTCTAGATGTCGCGGCAAGAATGGGCCATGGGACGATCGTTAGCCTATTGCTGAACTTCCTGCAATTCAACGAAGGGAGGTATAGGAACATGACTCAGCGAGACTGTGCGCTCTTTGCAGCCATTCGTGAAGGGCATGAGCCGATTGTCAAGATACTGCTTGACCACGGTGCTGATCCCAACGTCATGGATTCCTCAACCTCGACACTGATAAATTACTCGATTTCGACACCGCTGTCAGTCGCCATCGAGCATGAGGCTATATTCAAGTTGCTTCTTGAGCGAGGGGCCGATGCTATCAGGACCCCAGTCCCTGAGAATGAGGATGGTTTCGCTGTCAATATAACGGCAGTATTGGTCCGATTAGGGAAAACAACGTTTATCGACCACGTATTATCAACTCTTGAAGACTCTCAACCCCATGTTCTTCTTCCGCTCGACAACGTTCATATTGTCAACCGGGCACTCATTGGAGGGCCGGCCATGCTTAACTACTTAGTCTCCAAGGGGCTACTGCATCTTCCGTCCGACGAACACGACAGACAAAGTGCCGTCAACTATGCACTCGATCATTACCTTCCAGGATCTCTTGACTTCCTCTTGGGCGCGGGTTTTACTTTACCCCTTGGCGTGGCTCGGGACGCACTAAACCTGGCACCGAGCAACGAAAACAATGCTCTTGAAACAATCGATGTGTTGTTGAAACATGGCTTTGACATCAATAGTCGCTCTCTTGATGGATCCACAGCCCTTTGGCACTGGCTTCAAAAACCAGTCAGAGATGCCAAATTCCTTGTGAGCAGAGGCGCAGACCCGCTACTCGTGGACCATGACGAGATCTTGCTGGCTATCGCAACACGCGCGCTATCGGTACAAGACTTGAAGCTCGTGTTGCAGTCAATTGATGTCCGTTCTGTGCCGCGCAATGAATTGCGTCAGAAGGTTGCCAGATCTCTGTCCGTTGCGGATGAAGATCAGAAGTGGGATCATGTGAAAGTGCTTGAGCGCTTCGAGGCTGAGAGTAACCTGTTGGCGAGTTAATGACGATGTTGTACATGTAACTTTTATCCTATAGAGAGCACATTCATTTATACTCCGGTCACTGTACGCACACCGAAGAAACCCCACGAATTCGGTCCCATTTGGCCTCGTAAAGCACCCGAGATAGACTATATTAACTCATATCATTGAATTTATTTTTCTGCCTTCATAGCCTCGTTGTTTGAAGGAATGTCACATGACTCGCTGCGTTGTCGATCCCCGCGATACATTTTCCTTTTTTAATTCTACCCGGAATATGAACAAACACCTCTCAACATGCACCTTTTAGACCTTCCTAACGAAATTCTGCTTCTCATCGGCTATTCTTCAGATTATTCCTGGGACATCAGTTGTTTCTCCCAGGTCAACCGCCGTCTTCATTCATTACTAGATGGCCTTGCCTATCAACATGACCAACGCCATCACGATAGCTCATTATTGGTATGGGCAGCGAAGAATGGAATCGTGCCAATTTCACGCAAAATGCTGGATAACGGGGCCTACCCTTTGCGATGTCATGATGGAGAGCATACGGCCATGTCGCTTGCTGTGATTAATGGACATGTCTCAATACTAGAGCTGTTCCTGGAAAGAAACATACCTCTATCTAGAACGGACTTCCTCGACCCTGACTATGACGCGCTGACGGACGCAGTGCATGAGGGCCATGCAGCTGTTGTCCGGTTGATTATTGAACAAGAGAAACTCCCAACTTCTTGGAACTTCGAATTTCTGTTGGCTGATGCAGCGGGGGACGGATATATTGCTGTCGTCGAAGCGCTCATGAGATTATGGGAAATGGAACATCCTCCTGACCAGCTTCCTCTCCCTTCACTGGCAACCGCACTGGCCAGGGCATTGTGCAGCGCAGCGGGTGCGGATGAGATAGAAATGGTTCGGTGTCTGCTCCGACTCGGAGCCAACCCGAATACAGTTCCTCATACACGGGATACCCCATTACTTGCCGCCGTCACCTACGGTCATTTTGACATGCTCCAGTACTTGCTTACTCATGGTGCAGATGTGGCTCAGTTACCAGTTGAACAGAGATCCAGTCTTTTCTCTAAAGCCGCCACCGACGAGCGTGACGCGAGGCTCATTTTGGAAAGCATCGATTATAAAAATTTTGCAATGAACAGTAAAAAGGAACATGCATATTTGCTGTATTGCGCTATTGCATGCGAGTCTGAACAACATGTGCAAGAGCTTCTGCAATATGGCTTGCCAGATGACAGTGATTTTGTAGTCCGTCGTTATGACCAATGTTGCCTACGCTGTGGACCGCTTGAGGTGGCCGCAAAGACAGGCAACGAGAAGATTGCGTCTCTACTGTTAGACAGAGGCGCTTCTTGCAACCCTCGAGACATGATCCCATCCCGAGACCCACTTCGCTTAGCCATCCTCGAAGGACATGAGAATATGGTCAAGTTGCTGCTCGATCGCGGTGCTGACCCAAATTACATTGAGCGTCTGGGCGCTACTGTCTCCTTGCCGCTAGTTCTAGCTATCGAGCACGAGCCTATCTTCAAACTGCTACTTGAGCGAGGAGCTGACCCCATGAGCCCAATTTACTCTCGCTACACCAATAGCACTGTGGCACTACAGGTAATTATGTCCGGGAAAGTGGCCTTGGTCCAGGCATTGCTGGATCGTGATGTGCCAATTGAAATCCCTGGCCCTTTGCACCATCAACAAGAGAGGACCAGTCTTTTGCACTACGCGATAGAGGGAGGGGCAGATATTATAAAATTCCTTCTTGCGGAGGGCTTTCTGAATCTTCCTAGTGACTTGGATGAGAGAGAGGAAGCCGTCAGATATGCATTAGACAGAAAGCAGGCCTCCTCCTTCAACTATCTCATGGATCAAGGTTTTAATATGCCTATTAATGAGGTCCCGAAAACACTTGAAAAGCTTGCTGGCTATGCGCAGACAATAGGCTACGGTTCTCTGCATTCTCAGGCCAACGCGATGTTCAGTACATTATTAAACTGCGGTGCGAATATAAATGCTACCGATACTCCTGGATACTCGGCTCTCTGGTATAGTATCCACTTCCGCCACATAAAAACCGTGGAATATCTTCTCAGTAAAGGCGCGGATCCGCTTACTCTGAACAAGGGCGGGGAAACGCCATTATCTCTCTCAGTGCAGTGGATGGAGGGGTTCGAGCTCCTAATGCGATCAATTGACATTTCCTCGGTGCCGCCATATCAGTTGCGCTATAGGATAGAGAGATGTCTGGGTACAGCTGTCGAGTTTAAGCAGTGGGAGGTTGTGAAGAGGTTGGAGCGGCTTTTAGTCAAGGTTAATAGACTGGAGGGTTGATTCCTCCACCCGGTGGACTAGGTATATACACTTCTAGTACATACACTGGAGAGCAACTAGCGCTCCGGTCCGCTGATGTATGATATCCTCTGTGCTGAGATATCCTTTGTGGCTCGGCTTATTCGTTTCCGATACGGACTGCGACAGCATAGTTGTTCAACCTATCCGGCCTAACAGTCGAGGCCTTCCGTTGAATAGAAGCAGATCCCAGACTATGCCAGCGGGGGACGAGAGCTGAAGATGCACATATGGACGGATGAAAGAAAGGAAAAGATTAAATTGGCACCCTTTTTATATCTACACCCCTCCGAATTAGACAAGTCAACGAAACTGCGAAAAGGCGCTAATATGCCAACTCACTATGCCATCCAATGGCTTTTATTGACTTGTGAGAGTGCCCAATTGGCTCAAAACCATCTACTTTTGAATCGTAGAAAAAATGGGCCGTTAAACTGCCTTTTCACAGAGTCACTATCAGAAATCACATGACTTGGGCAAGTGTATTTTCAAATCAGGAAGGCGGCGATAGCCTTAGCCACAAATTACATGAGTCAGCCACACCCGCCACATCAGTATTGCCCCCTTTTATTCTTCTGCATATTTTCAATTCTTCTCTCGTAAGGACCGTCTACTATCCGTTATCGTGCTTTAGGACAGAGAGCATTGACTGAATACCGGATAACTGGTTTGCAGTGGACGCTGCCATCATGAGTCTCCTGAAACTCCCAAATGAGATCCTATTTCTCATCGCTAATTTCTCAGAATATTCCTGGAATATAAGCGCGCTCTCCCAGACAAATCGTTATCTACATTCCTTGCTGAATGGCTATGCCTATCAACATAATGTCCGCTACCTAGGCAGCTCATTGCTGAAATGGGCAGTTGAACATGACTCGGAGATTGTTGTGGCAAGAATGCTGGACGCAGGTGCTCCTGCAAGGATGCCTGACCCAAAAAATGACTACGACCCAATTGAGATTGCGGCATTGAATGGGCAAACAGCGATTATCCGGCTAGTCGTGGAGAGGAATCTAGTCTCAGCGGATCATTCCTACCACTTGATGCTTCTTGCGGCAGTTCATGGTCATGAGACTGTTGTAAAGCTCCTTCGCATGCTAGCAATGTCCAACTCTCCGACACAACCCTATTCCGACTTCGCTATGGTGAGGCATGGTCGTAAATTGAACGTGACGAAAATATTCACAGAAACATGGGGGAGATTCCTGTTGCCAAGTGATATATCGTTTATGTGGTCTGAGGAATTGAGATTGGAAGCGCGAAGAGGCCGATTGGAATCAGTTCGAGAACTCCTCCGGCTTGGGGCCAACCCAAATAAGGCTGGCCCTTACGATCACGAACCTACTGCACTTACCGTTGCTGCTAACGCTGGACACATGGAAATTGTTCGTTACTTGCTTGAATTTGGGGTTGACACTGCAGATGCCCTGGAACGTTCACGGGAAAATCCAATTTACCTGGCCATTTCTAAGGGCCACATGGAGATTGCAAGGCTTTTATTCCAGCATTCGGGGCTTGGCACAAGTACCCCAGACACTGATGACAAAAGAGCCTTTACCCTTTGCCTGGCTGCTGGCTGTGGCCTTGAATCTCATGTTCGACAACTTTTGAGCTACGGTCCACTGGACGAACAATACTTGTTCAAGTTCCCATTCGTCACGCCCGGCTTTCGCGGACCGCTTGAAGCCGCAGCAAGAAATGGACACACGGAAATCGCTGCTCAACTGTTGAATGAAAGACGTGTAAATCCACGACGAGAATATCCGCTACTTCACGCCGCTCAGAAAGGGCATGAGCATATTGTCAAGTTATTGCTTGACCATGGTGCTGACCATGATGACGATTATTGCCTGGACCGAGCATCACTGTATGAAGCTGTTGAACATGAAGATGTATTTCGGTTACTTGTTAATCGAGGCGTTGATCTCACAGACACAATGTATGATGAGGATGGTGAGCCTGTCACTATAATGTCACTAGTTATCCGTCGTGGGAAGATAGCGCTGGTTGAGTTGTTGCTCAACAATGGTGTAGAAATGGAAGAGCCGGATGACAACGATCTTTTACGATGGGCAATAGAAGGTGGACCGGCCATGCTTCGATACCTCCTTACCCGAGGACTTTTGACATTCCCATCTACCCCAAGTGAACGACAGGCTGCTGTGATGTCTGCGATTCGCGATAGCCTGACAGGGTCACTCGATGTTCTCTTGGATCAAGGCTTTAATATGCCTGAGGCTTACCATAATCTACTTGACCATTTTTTCGAACCTTGTTCGATTGAAACCCTTGACATACTCCTGAAGCACGGTATGGATCTCAACAAGAAAGATCGCGATGGGTACACGGCCTTGTTGCATACAGTTCAAGAACCAGTCCTTCATCACGTGAAGTATTTCCTGGAAAGAGGCGCGGATCCGATCATCGCTGGAACTGATGGCAAGACATCCTTGCTTCATGCGGTAGACAAATTGGGGGCTGCGGATTTCAGGCTTATGCTGCAGTCAACCAACACCCATTCTGTACCACGGAACAAATTGCACCAGGAAATATCCAGATGTCTAGCTGCGGCAGTTGAGCGTCAGGACTGGGATAAGGTGAGGATGCTGGAGCGCTTCCGAGTCAAAATCGACATGCTGGCAAACTAGCACTGGGGTTATTGTACATAACATCTGATCCTGCGTATAGTGCATGGTCCGATAGAATTAGAAAGGATCATATAGATATAGGCCACACCGGTTAGACGTATAGGCCCAAAGCCGTATTTCCATTGCTCCAGAGAGCTGCTAGTAAGTCCTTTTTCGCTTACAAAGATGATCCTTGTACGACTCTTAACACGAAGGTTATCAGCTGGTCAACAGCCAGTTGAAATTGTCTGGTACCTTTTTGACTCAACATTGAGCCACGGTGTGAAGGTGTGAGCATCGATACCGACTTAATGGATGGACATTCCTCGCCCTTGACGAACAAAATCCGGTGGTGTCAAATGAAATGCGTGGGATACCTCTTAAAAAAAAAGCGCCGATCCACTGTATCCAACTTACTTGGGGCAAGACAGTGATAATGCTTTGTTTAGGGCGAAGACTTGGTCTTATCCATACTATCCATCAGCCTCACTGTACGGAATTGTGGTTATGGTACCAGATGCATTAAGTACCCCCTCAATCACAGTGCTAATTCGCTGACTCCGGATCCCAAAAAGCGCGCAACCAGACCCTTTTAAGTCGCACGTATGGAAAGTCGCCCGAGGCTATGCTGCAGGCAATTGACATTCATGCCGTTTCGCAAAGTCATCTGCAGCTAGAGCTTTCTAAGTAAATAGACATTGCAGCTAGATCTGGGTACTGGAAGGCCTTGAAGAAGCCGGAGCGTTTCCAAGCCAGGGTCAGCATTGAGCTCGGCGAGCAATGAGTATCATGGATTTGTATTTGATAAGATGTACCATGCACAATTGACTCATATTCCTACACATACTTACCCAGTAAATCACATCGGCGGGTCAGCGGAGCGTTCTTTGCCATTTCCATTCGTCAAATGGTCATGTCCGCGGTTTTTACAGCTCTTAAACTGGGTTAGCGCATGTCCTATGTCAAATCCGCTATCTCCGACGATATCCGACATATCCAGACCGGAGTGATCGTGAGTCAATTCTCTCGACTTATAAGTAGCTTCCCTCGCTGTAGATGTACACCGATACACATAACCAAACACAATGGCAGGAGAACAGGCATCATATGGTAAGCCAGGGTCTACGATACTAGCTATCACTCGCTGACCGGACAGTCACTATTGACGTCTTCACAACGGAACGGTATACACCCCGCCCCGCAATGCACCACTCTATCTAACAATTACAGTCTCAAGGGGAACCAACTTGCCGTAGTAGATATCACCGACAAATCCCTCACTCAGCAGCGCAAACAACAAATTGCCCGCGAATTCAACTTCTCCGAATGCGTTTTCCTCACTCATGGCGGACTGGGACGCAACCCGCGTGCCCAGATTTTCACTCCCGTGAATGAGATGGAATTCGCCGGTCATCCGGTCATTGGATCCGGACATGTGTTGTTTCAGGGTCTGTTGGGTTCATACTGCCCCAGTCAGAGTATGACGCTGGACACCAAGGCGGGGCCGGTTACGATTGAGTATGATCCGGCTGCGAGGGTTGTCTCGGCGGGAGTTCCGCATAATGTGCACGTTCACGGGAAACAGGCTCCTCTTTCTGCTCTTGTAGCAACGCAGAAAGTTCTGGCCGATGTCGCGGGTCTCCAAAGCACATACCCCACGGTATCTATGGTCAAGCGGGTCACCTACGTTCTGGCCGATTTTACGAAGCAGCCTGATGCATTTGCCAACTTGGCTCCGGGACCAAGCCCGACTATTGACTTAGACGATGACTGGAGTCCCTCGTTTGTCGGAGTCATGTACTACCGAAATCTGCACTCTCGTGTCGAGGAAGAAACGACTATCTGGGACCTCCGTGTGCGCATGATCGCCATCGACCTGGAGGATCCGGCGTGTGGAAGTGGTTCGTGTTCCTTGGGTGCGTATCTTGCCTTGCAATCTGGACAGCAGAGTCGCAAACATCGATTCAATATCGACCAAGGGTCGGAAATTGGACGCGATAGTCAAATCATTGTCAATATTGAGTTGAATGAGTCACGAGACAAGGTGGAGAGCATGTATCTCGCTGGTCCGGCGGTTTTGGTGGCTCAAGGAAAGATCTTCTTGGATTAGTTTATCTAGATATGTACATTCTACACCGAAAAAAGATTCCCGTTCAAATACTTGAGTCCTGTGTCAACCGCCACCGTAACCACCTTCTTTCCTGGTCCCAGCTCATTAGCCAGGGCCAATGCAGCGGCCACATTAAGACCAGTTGAGGTACCAACAAGCAGTCCCTCCTCACGCGCCAGACGGCGACACATCTGACGACCCTCGTCTTCAGAAATCGCGCGAGCTTCATCATAGAGACTCTTCTCTAGATGTGGCGGGATAGACCCAAGTCCAATACCCTCCACTCCATGCGACCCAGCGCGGCCTTTCGTAATAATCGGCGAAGAGGCTGGCTCGAGCACAACCGTTCGTGTTTCGGGTTTCTGGGACTTCAACACGCGAGAAACCCCCATCACCATCCCGCCGGTGCCAACAGCACCACAAAATGTATCAATTCCCTCCGGGAACTGTTGCACCAGTTCATGACCGATACCCTCGTACCCAACAAATGAATCCAGGTTAGTAAATTGATTCGTCCAGTAACAGTTCCCGCTTTCTGAAATCTCTCGCGCTCGTCTCGCCATGGACGGGACCAAGTCACCGGTGATAGTCCCAGTAGGACTATGAATCAGCTCAACCTCCGCCCCGAACGCACTCATGGTCCGCAATTTCTCCGGCGCAAAAGCATCAGACGACACAACCCGGAACCGATATCCTTTAATCGCGCAGATATACGCAAGCGAAGAACCAGTGCTGCCACCCGTGGCTTCGACGACGGTCATCCCGGGTTTCAAATCACCGCGGCGCTCAGCTTCTTCGATCATGGACTTGGCCATCCGGTCCTTGTAAGAGCCGGTGGGGTTGACGGATTCGAGTTTCAAGTAAACATCGGCGTGGTTTTTGGGGACGATGCGGCGGAGATGCACAACGGGCGTATTGCCGATGACTTGTAGGGCGCTGGCTACCGGGGGAGGTGCGGTCATTGTTGGTATTGAATATATGTTGAGCAATGGATGGTTGACCGTTTCCAAAGATGATTCTTCTGTCATAATCAACATTTGCCTAATCCGAAATAAGTTAGACGTGAGCGATAATTAATCATCAGCAATGATGCCATCCGCCGTGTCTGAACCGGGACTCTAGAAGACCGGCCCGGCATAATATGAGTCACAGCTTTAGAGGACAGTTCAATGTCCAGAATATATCATTGGTGACATGTTGCGTAGGAATAACAGAGCTTTCCTCATCGTTGTAAATGCTGTGAAAATTGTGTCAAACGGATACTCCGGAGATATATAATCCATAGCACAAGGTGCATTCATACCTGAATCTACGACATGATAAGATTATGTCCAAACATATCTTAGAGGCCCTTCGTGAACGCATTTCTTCACCCTCTATCTCAACAATGTCATTTTTGTATACCATTCATGCAATACGCTTCGACAATAATGACGGCAGTGATACATTAGGTATGCCCATGCATCCGTGTTTCAGGATAGAAACGCTGCAATCTGACTATGTAGTTATGTAGAATGTAGAAGAGAAAAGCTGAAGTCTATCTTTCTAGATCTGACTTTGGTCTAAAATGAAGTCTAATCTGATATCACCGGCATCTGGATTCTCGGAATTTCCGCACTGAACCTCGGATCGGCTACGAACAAGACTGAACAATGCCGGAACACGACTATCATTGCCCTTGGCTTAATTTTATGGACCTGTCAAAGGCATTCTCCCCGCATTTTCTCCGCATCCTGAAGGCTTGGCCACGTCTGTCAGGAAAAGTCAATCATTCCGTCTTTGTCAGTCAAATCGTTTCAGTGTGCGGAATCAGTCACTAGGTAGTCATTTTTAAGCAAGCCATCGCGATGTTTTTGGGGGGGTGTGTGCCAGAGCCAGCAATATGTCAACAGAAGTATCTCAAGTCAGTGTTCCAAAAAGGCACCCGGACCACCTTGAAGAAGCAGCAGCCAAAACCCTGACACCGAGTCTCTCACCAGAGCATCAAGCCTTCCTTATCGACCGCCATGGCACCCTGAGCCTCGATCCTATTCCTAGTACCGACCCGGCAGATCCGTACAACTGGCCTTCGTGGAAAAAGGGTACCAACCTGGCTCTCGTTGCCTTCCATGCCTTTATGGGCACCTTTTCCGCAGCCGGAATCATCCCTGCGTTTGAGGAGATTTCAGAAGCACTGAGTGTCTCGCTACAACGTACAAGTTATCTCGTCTCGTTGCAGATTGCGATCCTGGGCGGTGCGCCATTGGTGTGGAAGCCATTGTCGCATCGTTTCGGACGGAGACCAATCTTCTTGATGTCGCTGATACTGAGCTGTGTGTGCAATGTTGGATGTGCGAAGAGTCCGGACTATGCCTCAATGGCGGCTTGTCGGGCCCTGGTAGCATGTTTCATCTCGCCGGCTATGGCTATTGGAAGCGCAGTGGTCATGGAGACATATTTCCAGCATGAACGGGCGCGGTATATGGGTATTTGGACGGTGATGGTGACCTTGGGGATACCGATTGGGCCACTTATCTTTGGATTTGTGGCTAATCGTGTGGGGTACGTATGGATCTATTGGATATTGGCTATTGTGAGTGCCAGTTTCACTAGAATCTTGAAGTTATACTAACGAACATAGACGAATGGGTGCCAGCTCATCCTGTACATCTTCCTAGGACCAGAAACCCGTTACACCAAGTCAAACAACACAGGATCAGTCCTCCAACGACAGTATCTGCACATTGGACGGATTGACCCCCGACCTTTTACGTTGAATGAGTTCATCCATCCACTTTCCCTTATCCGCAAGATCCCCGTTATGCTCGCTGCGGTCGCATACGCAATGGTCTTCCTCTTTGCCAGTGTAATGAACTCCATTGAGATACCCCAGCTCCTCCAGCAGAAGTTCGAGCTCAACGCAGAGCAACTAGGCCTTCAGTTTCTCGGACTGATCATTGGGACCCTGTTAGGCGAGCAGCTGGGCGGCATCATGTCGGATCTCTGGATGAGCTGGCGCGCCCGTCGCATCGGCCACCTTCCAGCCCCTGAGTTTCGGCTCTGGCTGAGCTATATCGGATTTCTGTTGAGTATGGCGGGTATGGTTATCTTCTTGGTGTGCACTGAGCAGGCCCAGGCTGGGAAATGGACTGTGGTGCCGATTGTCGGCACGGGTATTGCGGCTTTTGGCAACCAGGTTGTAACCACTGTTCTTACCACGTATGCTGTGGACATATATCCTGAGGATGCTGGGAGTGTCGGTGTATTCATCAACTTTGTCCGTTCAGAATGGGGGTTTATTGGGCCGTTCTGGTATGTCACTCCGATTGTCCATGTATGGACCGAACTAACGCAACGCAGGTTTCCGGCTATGTTTGAAGAAGTAGGCATCGCAGCTAGTGCAGGAGTCATGGTCGCCTTGATTACTGGAGCCAGTTTCATTCCGACGGCTCTTTTGCACTGGCAGGGGTGGCGGTTGCGGTAATGAGCTCCGTACACGGAATGATGTATATACTCAATAACTACAAATGAATGCAATTACACGATATTGACCTGGATCAGCCCATTTCTCTATATGCGACATCACAGGCAGCAGTGTATCACCTCGATTCTCTAGAGATAAAGCAATCAGGGTAGCCCACCATACCATTTATAGCGGTTTCAGGGAGATTAGATCGTCGCATCGGGTGGTTCCGACAATAAGAACTGCACGGATGACTCGGATCTTTTAATATCGAGTCTCGGGGGGTTTTATTCAATGGAATTACTGTGTTTGTGCACAGCTCAGACCCATGGCTAGTCAAGCTTCGGCGTCCCCACCGGCTGTCACAGATTGATCGGAGTGGGCTCAGGGCAGAGCCAGGGCTGCCACTGAAGTTATTCTAGCTGTCTCACGTTGACACAGATAGGGCTGGTATAAGGCCAGGTGAAAGCTTAGCTTTTGCATATAAAAACCTCTGTCCCTGGCCCTCAACAAGTTTTTCATCCAACAAGCTCTTCTCTCTTTACCATTTCCTTTCTTTACCCACTTCCATTCTCTATTCTATTCCGTTCTGTTGACCAGAGCCGATTCCCTTCGTTATAATGCACTCCTTCCAGCTTCTTGGCCTAGCTGCGCTGGGCTCCGTTGTCTCCGCTGCCCCGGCTCCCTCTCGTGCTTCGGACTTCACCAAGCGCGCAAGCACCTGCACTTTCACCGACGCCGCCGCCGCCTCTGAGAGCATCTCGAAGTGCTCCGACGTCGTGCTGAAGGACATTGAGGTCCCTGCTGGTGAGACCCTGGACCTCTCTGACGCCGCCGACAACTCCAAGATCACCTTCGAGGGTACCACCACCTTCGGCTACAAGGAGTGGAAGGGTCCTCTCATCCGCCTCGGTGGTTCCGGCCTCACCATCACCGCTGCCGAAGATGCCGTGATCGACGGCGAGGGCTCCCGCTGGTGGGACAGCAAGGGTACCAACGGCGGCAAGACCAAGCCCAAGTTCATGTATGTCCACTCGATCGAAGACTCGACCATCTCCGGCCTCCACATCAAGAACACCCCTGTGCAGGCCATCAGCGTGCAGGCCGACAACACTATTCTCGAGAACCTGACCATCGACAACTCTGACGGTGACGACAACGGCGGCCACAACACCGACGCTTTCGACATCAGCGAGTCTGACGGCGTCTATATCCGCGGTGCCACCGTCAAGAACCAGGACGACTGCATCGCCATCAACTCGGGCAAGAACATCGAGTTCTCGGGCGGCTCTTGCTCTGGCGGCCACGGTCTCTCCATCGGCTCCATTGGCGGCCGTGACGACAACACCGTCCAGAACGTCACCATCACCGACTCGACCATCAGCAACTCGGCTAACGGTCTCCGCATCAAGACCAAGGTCGACGAAACCGGCTCCGTCAGCGACGTCACCTACTCCAACATCAAGCTCTCCGGTATCTCCGACTACGGTATCGTCGTCGAGCAGGACTACAAGAACAGTGGCGCGACTGGCTCCCCCAGCAACGACATCAAGGTCTCTGGCGTTACTTTTGATGGTATCACCGGTTCCGTTGAGGACGATGCTAACCCAGTCTTTATCCTCTGCGGTGATGGTAGCTGCGAGGACTGGACCTGGAAGAACGTTGACATCACTGGCGGCGAGTCTAGCGATAAGTGTGAGAACGCTCCTTCTGGTGTTTCTTGCTAAGTGCGCATAAGTTGTAATATAGCTATCCTGTCAAGTCTATACTTTGTAATATAGCTCTTTCAAGACATCGCTATTGAATAGCGAATGCAACTATTACCACGTCATTAAATGTTTATTTACAGTCTTTCCGTAACCTTTTTGTCCTGATAGATATCCGAGATATACCCGACAGTCGCCAGTCTCAATATTACCAATCTGACGCACACCAACGCTTTGGTCTTCGCCTCAGATGCAGCAATAAAACTACCACGCATCTCCGGTGGCTGCAGAAGCTCTGGCTAACTATAGAAAGCATTACGTCGAGCATCTCGTGCATCTCCGGTCCAGCAGCATCGTGAGCCAGTCGTCTATATAAACTTCTCCCTTACCGTTAGCCCGATCGATGGCCATGCAAAAGGAATGTTGAAGATCCATCTGATGTAAAAGTCTGCAGATATGCAAGCCATCGTGAAGCAAGGAATTCCTTATGCTATTGACAGTGAACCGGTGAGCCCGGAAGAGGACGTTGCATTACATCCGGCAAGGGTATTCATTGATTCATAACATCATTAGGTGCTAGAGCGCTTTCAATGACTCGATTGTGATTAAATTACATAGCGGAAACTTTCCATCTCCCCGTCTGTCTTGTTGGACAGATCTTGCTGCAATTCTTCGTTCTCCGTCATCAATGAAGGCGGTCCGTATAGTGCGTCGCGGCGGCGGTTTTCCCAGATATAATACGCCATCAGGCAGAATAAGAAGAAAATACCCAGGATGAGACCGCACATGGCTGCTTTGATTCCGGTCTGTCCGT